AGGGAAGGTATTGTTATTTATTTGGGTAGTGGGAAGTTTTATCTTCTTGCCAAAAGAACAATCCTAATGGCTCAGTCAATTCCAGGCATGCCCATATCTCCGCCGCTAACTTCTGTCAAGTGCTGTGTGTTCCCGCGGTGGGGCATTTAGCATCCAATACTGCAATAATAATGTGTGCAGGTGGTTCAGGACGAGGACAGGAAGGTTCCCAATTAAAGTTGACGCCCAACCAAAAAAGAAATAAATTGGTACAAATCACATACAACAATATAAAATTGTATGAAAATAAAGCTTTTTGGAGCATAGTAAAAGTATAAGACCAGATAGGTCTAGGAGAACTATATGGATAAAAGAGGGTGTTTCTTGGTGTTGCGGAAACCATTGTTGGTTTACTTCTGTGTTTTGCTGTGGCTATTGTTCAGTGACTTTTCAATCTTTTGTATGACATCATTTTGGGGATTGCATTTGTCCACAACACCAACAAACTACGATAAAGGCACATTATGTGGATTTTTATAAAGTAACTAAGATATTACGTGTGCTTTGATTGGCCGAGAGGCATGTTTGCATGAGAGTACAGTGGAACCTGGATTTAATGAACCTGTATATAACAAAGTCCTTGGTATAACGAAGGATTTTCTTCAGCCTGGCCAAAATTACAGTAAAGTGTATGGAGCAGAACCTCTATTTAACAAACTTCGATTTAACGAAATCCTTGTTATAACGAACACAGTGCACAAGCCCAAGTGTAAAATATACCTTGATATAACGAGTAAATGTCAGCATGTGACAAAAGATGGAAGCCAAACAGACCAGCAAGGATAAAATTTATGTGTACAGTAGTTTTAAGCAGTTCTGTTTGCCTGTTCTTGAGCTTCCGGTGCTGCAGCTATGTATAGCTTGGTACTGAAATGTTATTACGGTAATATTTCAGATCCAGAAATGCTGGGTTTTGTAAATTAATTACTAACTATACCTTGATATAAGGAACACTTGGTAGTTTTCTGGAAATTTGTAAAATGGAGGTGTGCAATATAACAAACCCTCGATATAACAAACCAATTTCCCCAGTCCCTTGGCACTTCGTTAAATCAAGATTCCACTGTATGTAAACCAACATTTCCAAATTCCAATTTGACCAGGAATCAGGTAGACAAAGAACCACTTGTGGATGTGCTACCTCCAAATCATTATTTATTTATTTATTTACATGGTTGTGACGTCAAGATGTTGTGCTTTTCGCATGCTAATCATGCAAGCACGAATTTGAAAAAGGTTTTGAGGTGAAAACTCGACAAGATCTTTAAGATTCTGCATAAGTTTTTACTCATGAATTCACCCATCAAAACCTTGACCAATCTGAGACTAGATTGGTCCTGGAGCATAACCAAAAACGTGACCAAAAACTTGACCAAGCTAAAAGCACATCCTTAAAACTTTATAAGGTTTTTGTCATAAGTCAAACAAACAAATGAGATTCAAGATCTTTACATTGCCTCCATTGGTCGCCTGCAGGTGAACTGGTTAATGTTTAGCCAAGAAAAACAGCTTGGTCAACTTAGTACCTCCCTGCCAGTCCATACGGACATACGGGTGTACGCTGATGTCATAACCAAATTTTCTTGCATCAATAGGTTTCCGTTTTCTATAGCAATGGAGGCTCCACCGCACACGCAAAGCATGCGGGAAGGCTCCGCTACAAAATGTGTAGTCAGATCATTTTATAACCTGAAATACATGTATAACCATCGTTGACCAAGTGTTTGGTCAAGATGGCTGTGTACTGGCCAAGTTGTTTGTTGCATTTTTGAAAAAGAATATGTATGGACTGAGACAAAGTGGAGGGCAATAAAAATGCAAAAAAGGAGGAGGTCAATATTTAGCCATCTTGACTGAATAAGGTTTGTGAAAGTTTAACCAAGGGGCAAAACAATGCTTCAGTCAAATCGCAAATGTAGTGTTTCAGTAATTGCTGGAAAACTGATTGATATTCATTAATGATTAGACTGAGAAAACGGCCAGCATTCTGTGACACCATTACTGGTTTGCTTGCAAAATGATGTCTAAGAAACAAGAGCAGAAATTCCTTACCAATGATGCATCAGATCTGGGTAGTGTTTCTGATTGGTTGAATCAAATTTCACACATGGCACAACCAATCAGAAGCACTACTCAGATCTTGGTAGTGAGGGGTTGTCAGTATGGAATTTCTGCACTCATTTCTCAGACATCATTTCTCAGGGAAACCAGTGGTGGTGTTGGAGAATTTCAGCTGTTTTCTCAGGCTAGTTAATGATGTGAGTTTTTTAAGAGATATTATGCACAGTTCTATTTTTGCATTTCATTGCTTTTCCTCAAACAGCCCTGTAGTTGGTGCAGTTGGTCCAACATCATTAGAACTATTTCCAGCACCACAGTTAACTTGTGGTACCCCAGTGAATGAGACATTCTATGATCACTTGGAAGGTATAGCAAACCGTGAGTACCATCCAACTTTTGTGGAGCCAGATGTAGCTTTGATTTTTAAGAAGAATGATGTTGAAGATATTGATCTGGGACTTATTGAGTCGAACTTAAAAAGAGCTATTGAAGAGGTAGGTTGAGTAAATTCTACAGCGTGAAGAAAGTAAAAGTATAGGCTAATGACCAACTTGTTTGCAGCTGTGTTTTAATTGTTTTTTCTCCAGGATTAAGAACCCATTTTAAGAACCTAAATAGCCTAAAATTCTGTTAACTACCATTTATATAAGAACCTGTTTAGGCTAACTCCTAAAAATGTAGGTTCTTAGTTGGGGGTTTTTACTGTGCAACAATCAAAGATTTTCTGACCATTTTGGTCTTAATAAAAGAATAAAGATGTTCGTAAAACTCTTCATGCATGTACGTCTTAGATGCCTTGATTTGTGCTCGTTTTCATTTCTCATGTATCACCTTTGATTTGTACAATTAAAATTCATCACCCATTTTACACACAACAGATCAGCCTTTCACTGTACTGAATTGAGTAAGCTGGTCTTTGTTGCGTGTGTGCTGCACATTGTTAGGGTACAGTTTAGAACCCAGGCCTAATAGCCATGTGCTTGGTATGGTGGGTTTATGAACTTTTTTGAAGGAAACTTAAGGTGGATGTTAGCAATGTGTACAACAGAACATAAATGTTGAAAACTACCTGTATGCCTGAAAGAAGCCTCTGCCAGCAGGGTACATAAAGAAAAGAGATGGAAATTTAAATTAGAAACATCCACTTGTAAATTTAGGTTTTGCAGAGAAAAGTCCCACAGTGTTTTGCCTTATCATTATGGTGACTACAGTGTAGATGTCAGGTTGATACATCTGTTTTTTGTATGTTATTATAAAATGATGATACTGTCTTCGGTGTAATGATAAAACCAAACTACCTAGCTATTATGCTTGGACTTTTCATATAACCACCCATTAATCCATCAACATCACTTGTTTTAACCCAAATGAAAGGCAAACCATTTTGTTATTTTCACAAACTAACCTCTGTCCAGGACATTTTAGCTTAAACTGTGTGTTTTGATTTCATTTATAGAGTCCAAACTCAGTGGTGGTATGTAATCACATTGGAAATTTCTGGAGAATAAGAGGAAGTACTTATCACTCCATAGAGTGTTTCAGAAGAGCTTTGTACTTCTCACCAAATGATGCAGATGCCCTTCTCAATCTTGCAAAGGTTTTATTTAATTTAAACTTTGTACAGGATGCTGCCTACTTAGCTCGAAGATCTTTAGAAATGCAGCCATCTGAACACAACTGTTGGTTGCAGCATTTCACTCTTGGTGAAATATTGAGAGCTGCTGGAGATCTAGAAGAAGCTGGCATCCATTTTAGACATGCTCTTGACCTGAATCCAGCATTTGAACTGGCAGAGGTGCATCTCCGTGAGATTGGATCACCATCAACTTCACCCACAAATACATATACTTTCTTAATCATTGGTTTACTGGTTGTCGTTGTCTTGGCCACTGTCTACTTTATGACATTGACAAGCGAAAGTCGTGGAATGAAAAGTAGTCGAATGTCACTTTGGGTTGAAGGAAAAAGGCCAAAAAAGAGACCAGTTTCATGAAGTGTGTTGTATTTAATGTTAAATTAAGAAAGCTAGATACTTGATGGGAATCGCCATTAATGTGCAGCAATTTTCAACTGAAGTCTTTTTTAAGAGAAACATATGCTGGTCAATGCATGTCATGAAAATGTTTTACATTTTTTGTTGGTCAGAGGCTGCACTCTTTTATAGAAATTTGATATTCAGATATTTGCTTGCAAATTAGCTGTTTTTAATTAAACAATTTCCTCAACAGACTTTGTTGTTAAATATTTATTGTCTTGTTGTCGATTCTGATCACCATGACTGACCCAGCACTGGCCTTTGACCATTTTCATCACCAAGGGAAAGAAGAAAAAATTGGTGACTACAGTGGAAATTATCAATTTGGCGACTTGTGTTTCATGGTAATGCAGCAGAGATGTGGTGACTTCAATAGTTTAAGTGTTTATGGTCTTTCCTAAGGTGGCTGAATTGGATTTTTCAGGGCCAATATCTCCTAAGTTTGAGCATTAACTATGTCGACATTACACAAATATATGAAAAAAGTTACCACAGCTTTATTAGACAAAGACAACATACCAGTCTCATTGTTCACGAAGTTTGAGCAAGGTCTTTTCGAGTGTTTTTGAGATGTCTTGGGATGACATTTTTATGGTTACCTCATAGTAGTTTCAATCTTTATAAAATTGTGTGTAAAAGACCATGGGGATTTAAGCTTTGGCAGATTGCTTAGAAAGAAGGCTTTATTATTAATATGGATTGAAGCGCACTTGTCCTCGTTTTTTATCTACTTTAACAAACAAGGGATCAATATTTTGAGACTGCTTTAATTTATAGATTTTTAAAAAAATATTATATTCTTAAGATCAATTGTCATTTTTATATGACCCTTAAATTTAAAATTCTGATCATTGAAAACTTCTAAGGAATTAAATAAGGGCCATGATGTGCTTTTCTTTTTTTTGGAAATTTTGTGTTTACAAGTGAGAGCCATCAGTATTATTTTAACTTATTGTCTCCAAGTTTCATCATTCCATGTTGTCACTGAAAGTTCTTTGTATACTGTAAGTGGCATAGTTTTTTTTGGATTTAGTGAACAGAGAAATAAGAGCATACGTCAAGTGGCAGCTTATGAGAGGTTAAAAACAATGTAAAATTATAAAAGGAATAGTGGTAATTGAACTGAGTGGTTGCAATTTGGTCGGAAATCACAAAGCATGATTTTAAAATCCGACATGCATGAGTTTGATTTGAAATCGCACTGAAGTACAATTTCCGACTACAAATTACACTACACGAAGTTCAATTACCACTTTATTACAGCCATTTTGAAATTGCAGAATTCAGTCAGTACCAATATTCATTATTGCTTTAGCAGCTGGTTTTTTAGCCTCCCCCGCAGACATTCTTAGGGGTTCATCATGTGGGGGAGGCTACTGGTTTGTTGAAAAGCTGAAACAAAAAGGATTTTACATCTCATTTTTGTACCCGAAACAAATGATGCAATATGTAATGGTAACAGGACTGAGTGGAGTCCAATTCGGTCTGTAATCATACGAGTGATTAACAAAATTGGACAACCGTGTAGCGGGAGTCCGATTTGTTTAATCACGAGTATGATTACAGACCGAATTGGACGACACGAAGTTCTGTTACCAATTAATCATAACTTTAACAAAATTTGTGATATATTAGGCTCCTTTTTTTTAATCAAAACACAAGAAATTCCGAGATTTTTTTGCTAGCAGTGAAAAAAAAGCCATTTAAGCGCGCGTGTGATGGCGCGTACTGTCCAATTACTTAGGCATGACGCGTACTGTCCTATTTAACTGTCCTATTAAGGCTGAAATCAGGGCAGTTGATAGCCAATCAGATTTAAGAATTTTGTTATAGTTATGATTAAAAGTGAAAATGAATCGTAGTAAACAGTTACCCGCACTGACAAACAACTTGTTGATGGAATCAACCAAGACTAAATACAAGAGAACAACTGCATGGACAACTGGCAATTTGACTAACAATAAATAACTGTTTAGCTGTGACAATAGATTGATTGAAACACACCAATGACATTACAAGTCCTCATAGCACAGATGACCAATAAAATCGTGACTTAAGGTCTTGGTAAATGAAAATTTTAGTACATTGCTCGATTTTTTTTTTTGATTTTTGGCATGAGTGGGTCCTAAATTTTATTTTGGCTGAAAAAGAAAATCAGAAAGTGCTTTTTAACCCTTCTAAAATGAGCCTTTTCTGAGCTAACCAGCCAAGCGTGGACCTCGCGCTAAATCTTTAGAGCTGATTTTCTCTCACTCTATTTTAGACGCAAAAATCAAAATTCTCCGACCTCCAGTCGGGACAGGTTTTAAGCTATCGCTTTGAAACTTTCAGATATGATGGATAATGATATAGACTCAAAAAGGGTGTGAGGAATTTTCCGATTTCCCTTTGTAACTCATTTTATGTCAGTTTCTTGGCGTAAATCGCGCTCGAGATTCGACTTTTTAGTTTGCAATGCAATAATTCCTCTAATACGAGACATATGCAAATTTCCTCACACCCTTTTTTAGGTCTTTTATCTGTCAATCAGACGCAATAAAAAGGAAGTGAATATTTAACAACGCGAAAGGGCTGGAGCTTCAGCAGTAAACTCGATACCTCTGAGTTCGAGAGCAAAAAACTTAAGCGCCTTTTGAAATTCGATGAAATAAAATCTTTTATAAGGTAATTTAGTCTTTTAGCTTTAATTTGATATATAACTTGCCTTTGCAGCGAAAATACTGGAGCGACTAGAATTTTTTTCTGTGGGTACCTCGTTTTCCTTTACTGAGACCTTAATTGACCAATCAGGTCGATAACTGGAGTTTAATACCATCAACTGACATTTACAACTCGATCACTTTGACTCTGAAGATGACTCTCGTACAGGTAGTTGAAATGTCAGTCACTGTCAACAACTATCCAATTCAGGACTACATTCACCTGGACGATCATACTCAACCTACTTATGAAATGACTGCTGGGTTCAAACCTTTCACAGTTTTATTATTTGTCTTGAAAAAATTCCATAGTTTTGTACATGTGGAAATTGTCAACCAATACTATACTACTACTTTACACCCCCTTCCCAGTGGGGGAAAAAAGACCAAAACAAAAATTTACACATATTAGTCATTTTTACAGGATTAATCAAAGGTAAGAAGTATATTTACAAACATGTAACTAAATCCACTCAGTGTGACTGACTCAGTGTGCCCTATGCTTCTGTGAGGTCATCATTAAAGTATAAATGCATTGCAGGTAGAAATTGTTCATTGTTCATTCTCAGTTTGTAAAACTGCTCACTTTCATCAATGACTCCATTCTCCTCTAGGGTCTTGTTCATGTCCAGGTTCCTCCCATTGTATTTCCAAGTATAACTGGCTGCATGTGCATTGTACTTGAGATAACGATCTTGGATTTCACTCAGTATTTCCTCTGAACAAACCTGTGGAAAGATATTTACACAGGTAGGCTGGGCAGTGGTGGGATCCAGGTCTATGTACAAAAAGATATGTGCTAGTAGTATGGTTTCACAAGCTCAAAAAAATATTGTATTCCCTGCATGCTGCCATGTTCCCTTTTAGAAATAACAAATTGCCCAGAATCACGCGACATATCCAGGAAATTTAAGCGCACTCTGAGCACCAAATCTGAAATGATGATCAGCGAACTGAGGCCAGAACAAAGAAAAAACGGCCAAAACTGTTCAGAGTGGCTCAAGTTTTACACTTTTTTGCCTTAACTATATAAAAATTATTAGCATGAGCATATAGATTTTGTAGAAGAGACGTTAATAAAAAATACAAGACTGCTGGTGATTCTGTAGACCTTGTAGAAGTTCTGGCTTTTTGCTTTGAAAATCGGCTGCTTTAGTCACCATTTTGTATGGGAGGTCACGTTTGAGGCTAAATATCAGTTCGGCAAGTCACTTTATTCATGCGTCAGCATGTGGCTATGTTAGTTTGACCATTAAGGAAGACTCTCTGAAAGTTTGGTACGATTATGTTGTTGGGAAGTTCTGGCTTTTCGTCAATTTCTAAAAGTAGTCCTGCTCACTTACGTCCATAAATCCTGAGGACAAGCGCGACTTGGTTTGAAACTCCCGCTTGCATATTAATGAATTGAAACGGATCAAAATTTGAATGATTATCTCACACAATGTTCCCTCAAGCATTGTTAACCAACTCGTTGATGTTAAAATGAAATGTCATATATATACCAAGAGAGAATAATATTCTTTCTTGCATTTACTTCACCTCATTTGTCTTACAAATAGAAAAACTCTATTATTTTTAACTCTGCGACCAACGCAATGGAAAACAATCGAATAAAAGAGCGAGTCTTTTATATGAGCTGCTTTGACCGGTTTACGAAACTGAAACGCAACGATGAAATAGAGGTAAGTGTTCCGCTCATTTCTTTTGCCATTTGACAAATATTTGTCTGGCCATCGCATGCAGACAGATCTAATACACTTTACGCATTAAACCGGTACAGTGATTGACAGCTACCGATTCTTTTACGAGAGTAGTCGGCCTTTAGCTGGCTTTCCGAAAGCTTATTTATTCAGTTATTATGCCGCACATTGAGAAACTGTGCACCGTAAGTACATGTTGCAAAAGACAGTAGCATTCTGGGCGATGAAAGATTATTTTTGTAATTTCTAAAAGTGAACATAAAAGCAATTGTCATTATTTTGATGATTGACAAGTATTTTATACCTTGTATGATGATAATGACAACATTATGTGCAAATTATGTTTCCCCCCCTTTTTATTTTTTCTTACCAGAGTTTACAAATTTACCGGACCATGTGTATTATAAATAACATACTGTAGTGTAATTTTTATAGCCTGCAAATTATGAATGAATGTTATTATTTTGGGGATTTTACCGTACATGTGAGTGAAAACAAGCATAAAGGAAGCATGGAGCGATTCTGCACACACTGATGTTCAGACCTTTGCTCACCAGCGAAAAAGAACAGAAACATGATAAAATTAGCTGTTCTGCATGCTTGGTATTATTGTTTGAGCAGTCACTCATGTTATTTGTTTTGTAAGACTAATTAATACCTCAATGCATTGCTCTTGTGAAGTCAGTGTGTTGATAATTTTGATTTTCCTTGTTACAGCTGAAAGCACGCCAATGCAGTATGATTCATCTTTCCACCATGGACGACCAAAATCATTTGCCCAGTCTGTTCTGGGACACCTTGGAGGTGTGTGTATGAAGCGTCCTCTTGGAGTGTAGTAGAATTTGCACTTTGTTACAGGGTCAATGTGGGTTCGAATCTGGGCCAAATGAATGTCAAAAAATCCACCTAAGTCTTAAAATATATAATCTTCTAGTTTAGGGCAAAGTGATCCAACTGTTTAGGGGAGATTTGTACGACAAATTTGGAGAACAGAGGTTGAGTTTGTACCAAGAATGTGTAGTTCCAGAGGATATCCATATCCCCATGGAGGGCAACAGAATTCCGAGGGGAGGAGGGGTCCAAAAGGAGGCAATTTCCAAGGGGTGGGGGGTACTTACAGAGGTTTTTCCCCAGTGGGTCTGAGTAAGATTGCTGAGTTATTAACAAACAACAACACTCTTAATATTGGAATTAAGTCTCACTTGCTTGGAGATTAGACAATAAATGAGGAGGCGATTAATTCTAGATGAAACAGGATTTACTCGGCAAAGGTTTTTCACTTCCCACTTAATTGACGGTCGAGTGGTCTTCAGGATATTTACTTTTTATATCATATTCGACAATTTGTTTCTGAATTGATTTCCCAGGTGGAAATCTTATTAAGATCTTAACAAGATTCTTATTAAGATTCTTACCAAGATCTTAACAAGTATCTTATTAAGATTCTTGTAAGATCTTGTAAGATTCTTGTAAGAATCTTACAAGATCTTGTAAGAATCTTGCAAGATCTTGTAAGAATCTTAACCAAGATCTTACAAGATAAGTTCCAAGATCTTACAAGAATCTTAACAAAGATCTTGTAAGATCTTAAAAGATCTTAATCAAGATTCTTGTAAGACCTTTTAAGATCTTACAAGAATCTTACCAAAACCTTACAAGATCTTGTAAGAAATCTTGCAAGATCTTATAAGACCTTTTTAAGATCTTACAAGAATCTGACCAAAACCTTACAAGATCTTGGTTTGAACTGTAACTAGAATCTTAACAACTTCTTTCGCAATGTTTTCAAGATTTTGTCTCTGAAGTTCTAGATTTTGCAAGAGCTTGGTCAAGATTCTAACACAATCTTGCAAGATGAAAAAAAGGTATTGTTGAGAGAGCTTTCAACTTTCTTGGTCAGGATTCTGGAATGTTTCCTTGACAAAAGATCAAGACCTGATTCTTTAAAAAGGAGTCCCCCACGTCAATTGCAAAGACTTTCTCAGTCAATCTCCATGTTTGGTGTTACATTTATTTGCCTCATTAATTAAAAATAGTGAATTCAAGAAAAAGTAACATTGCACTACTGAAACATATATATATATATATATATATATATATATGTATTTTTAAAAAAATTATTAAGTCAAGATACTGGATTTTGAAGAAAAAAGAATAGTTTCTTAATTTAACATTTTACTCATTAAAAGGTATGCCTGACAAAAAATCCTTCCACAAAACAAGCTATTTTTAATTCAAATGTACACATTTTTAATATACTCTAGTTCAGAAACAAAACAGAAAGGGCAGACTATTAGTTCAAGTCCAGTACGCAGCGTGCAAAGAAAGTCGTGTCCGATAGCCCGGGGCTAGTGGATTTTGCTATCGGGCTAGTGATTTTTGCTCTTAACTTGCTGGACGGGTAAGTGCTGTTATTCGGGGAAATTCAAATTGCAGAAGGACTATAATCAATCCTGCTTAACAAAAAGGGTTTGGGGCTAGTTAAAATGACATGTGGGCTAATACATGCTAGCTACAGCTTGCCTGAATGGCAGGCTGTAAAACTGACTTTCTTTGCACTCTGAGTATGACAAAGTACACCCCTGTAGCAAAAACACCATAATGTCATTTGTATCTTTCAATGAATTGGCATCGCGTAGTTTTAATTATCTTTTTTAAATCATGCTATTTTACCAGTTACTTAAACAATGTTCAATAGGCCAAAACTGCCATTTGCACCAAGAGGTCATGTGACATTGTTTTTATGAAAATGAAAGTTATATGATTTTGCCTTCGAAAAACGATTAGTGGGTCATATCTTATATAAAATAATAGTTACTTGGTTTCTCAAAGCCGCACCATTTTCTTAAAATGATTACATGACCAAAATGCGATTTTTAAAATTATGAAGTATCCCTTTCTGAACACAAATTGTACACTTAAACTTCAAGGAAAATATTGAAAATATGTGCCAAAGTTTACAGCATATCTGAGCATAACTATCACACATTTAACAAGATATAAGCTAAAAGTAGTTTTGGCCACCATGTTGGAGGGCATACTTGCCCTCCAACATGCCGGCCAATACAAATCATACTACTTTGTGCCATAAATATCTCCCTTGAATGCGTTTCCTCTCAAATTTCAGTTCAGGCTGTTGTATGATAATTTTTACGTGCTCTGTCAATTTTTGGCATCAGCAAGATTCCAACTCATTGTTTAAAGGAAGCATTGGTCACGTGACATCTTAGTGCAAGTGGCCTATTCATTGGATTTGTCCATCTACATGTATTTCCTCCACAAAAATCAAGGAAAAGAAGAGAAAAAACAAAACATTATAAGTTTTGTCAGTTTATAAATACTATGAAAGAAAATTGTGAATTACTATGTAGATTATCACACCTTTTTATAAAATGGACTCTAATCATTGCTAGTTGTTTTGTGACCTTACTATTGGAGCAATGATATTAAGATTACATGTACCAGAAGCTTACAACCTTATGCAACTTATACTATGAATTAAAGTTCAAATAAACAAACCTACAGGCTGTATTCTAATATTTTATATGTAAGTTCAAGTCTCAAGTCCTTATGAATTAACTGAAAATTTATTGCTTCTAACCTGTATAGTAGCCATTAGAAACTTTACTTATTATGCTATTTCTTTTCCTGTCTAACATTGGTCTTGACAAGTCTGCTATAACCTTGTAGCGCCAGAACATACAGTTTTCAGAGTATTCCATTGACTATTTGCAACAAAGAGTACAGTTATTTCGATCTGCAGTAAACAAAAAGCAGCAAAAAGGGATCTGATCAATGGCATATCTTTGCATGCATCTTTGAACTTTATAAGGATATTTACGCAAAGTTATTGGAAAACATACCTTTCCACATTAATCCAGCTGAGTAAACTTACTTGCAAACATGCTTTATGTGAACACAAACTTCGCAATTGATCACTTTGTCTCGAAAATAACACGGATAATGGAAAGACGGTCTTACGAAAATACTTTGTTGCTTGTGAAGTCCGCGTGAATTTGAACTATTCAACGGAAGTTCATTTCACACTTTTCTATTGGTTCAAAAGCCGCACGTGACAAAGTAAATCAAATCGCGCATGTGCCAAAGGCACACGTGGAGGCCTGGGAAACAAGAAAACATGGCGACTAATGCGATGTGCTCCCGTTTGGGTCTAAATAGCAGTTATTTTCAGCGTTAATTAAGATGAACCAACGCATTTGAAGTGTTGAGAGCAAGAGGTAAACTTAACGTTGTTCTTTTAAGTTGGGAAAGAAAATGTTGGACTACATTATCAATCAAAGAACTGCGACGAAAAACGTGTTGTGGCTGTTGTTCATGTTGGACGGATCCATGTTGGACAAAGCTCACAGCTTAGTGTATGGAAATCTGATCTAACAAAAGACACCTTGATCACATCATTCATTAGTTGAACGAACTCTACCAAAAGGAAGCTCAAAAAGCATGCAAAGCAAGGAACTGTTCGCATGTTCAAGTGGACTTTCGACCTACGAGGAACGGTAAATCCAAGGAACACATTGCAGTAAGAAACAGTTATAAAAATGGAAATGATCCTTGCAGTAAAATGGACATTATCTAAAAGGTTGAGCAAGTACCTGAAAAAATTAAAGGCTTGATCGGGAATCGAATCCTGACCTAGCTATGCGATTGATCGGATGCAATCGTTTAACCATTAAAATTATCAAGCCAGCTGGAGAGCTGGCCATGGTGAGCTAGTACATGTACCCAATGGTGGAAATGACATGAATGGAAATAATTGAGCTTTCATGAAATGACAATTTTTTTTGGACATGTGGATATAGATATGAAAGTAGAAATGATCCTCACAGTTAAATAAATTACCCATGCAGATGAAAAAGAACCATACAGAAAATTCAGAATAGGAGGTACTTGTATATATTTCAGTTTATAAAATAACTCAGATAGTACGTGCGCTCTGATTAGCCGAGAGGCGTGTTTGCATGAGAGTATGTAGGCATGGTTGTGACGTCAATATGTTTTGCTTTTTGCGCGCTAATCACGCAGGCAAGAATTTAAAAAAGGTTTTGAGTTGAAAAATAATTAGTCGACAAGTTTAGTTTATTTACCTATTTCCTCGTCGGCTGAAACTTGAAAAATCTTTAGAAACATGCTGTGTCAAGTTTTTTTTTGCTTGAGCTGACATTTTAAGTGAGAAAAGCATCTTATTTGGAAAACAAGGACTGATTAACTGTACAAGCTTCGAGTACAAGACTTCACGACTGGTAACAATTTCTCTTTTAATCAGTGCTCTAAACAACAGAGTTTTGCTATTTTTCTTGGGAAAGTTATTTCATAAAAGCACTAGAAAATATTTTTTCCTGTGTTTGCACTCGCAGGGCTGGGAGAATTCTTGACCGTTATGCAAACCCTCGACTGCGTCTTGGGTTTCAATAACTGTCTCGAATTCTCCCAACCCCTCTTATGTTTATATCAGGCTATGCAAACACAGAAAACGTTTTCTATTGCTTAAATGGTTTTTATATAATCTTTGCAGAATCGCTTTGTCGTCAAATATTGAAAATTAACTTTATATTACTTCATGTATCTATATATAAGTAATTCAGTGTTACTGCTATTGAAAAAAAAGTTTTTTATCTGAGTGGAAACAAGCAAGATTTGTGTTTTGCTAGAATGCCAAACTTTGTGGAAAGAGAGTAGTGGACTTGCTGTAGCCTTATGATCTGTTTTTCCTTTTCTTGCACTAATTTCTTAAAACTCTGTATTTTCTATTTTTGGTATTGATCCTGTAAAAACATACCTTTCTTATTGTTGTTTCTAGTTCTTATTGCTGTCACTTGTAGAACATGGCCACGAATTCTTGGCTTTCCCGGCTTCTGGTTTTCTGGCCGGGAAAGCCATGAAATGCCAGCCTATTTTTTAGCATGGCCAAAAAAGTCACGCTTCTATGGCCAGGCTTACCTCAAAACCCTGGCCTTGACCGGGCTTACAAGGTTTGTCCACGCCACGCTTTCCCGGCAAGCCCAGCCAAGACCTTGGCAATGGCCAGGCTTGCTATGCGTTTGACCGCAATCCTGATGCAAGGGTTGTAAACATGTAATTTATAAACGAGGTTTTAAAAAATGAAAAACAGACACAGAAATTGGAACACACAAGATTCAAATGAAATTCAATAGGGTTTTTAATTTGCACTCAGGAGTTGCAATAAGCTAAATTCAGAGGGCAGCTGCTTTTATGAAGGAAAGAATATTTTTTAAATCTGTGTTTAACTATACAGCTCTTGGGTTAAGCTTAATGGGGCTAGTATCCTAAACCCTCTCTGATCTGTTTATTGAAGGAATTAAACTGGAATTGACACTGTTCTCTCTCTCTTTTCAATGAAAGCCCAGGTAGTTTAGGCTAAGCCTGGTTCCAATCATTTTTTAAAATATTACAGGGTTAACAGTGGCTTATTTTCAGCCAATCGACCAGTATTCCGCCTTATGTAATTAAGATCTAGACTAAGATTGTGTAATTATTTTTGAAAGTTGATCCTAGTAAGATCTTGACTTATTTCAAACTTTCATTTACAATAATAATAATATAAGTTTTCATTTAAAAGAGATGTTATTGAGGCTCATCCTTGGTGTGAGCTAGAAACTGCTACACTTGCAGATGATGTAAAACAAACTTTTAAGATAACTTTTAAGAAGACAACAAAATGAAATCTAGAAAAACGTAAATACAAAACAAAGAAAAAGTTCAAAGGTTACACCGACATAAACGCGTTATTAATAAATTTTTATGGTACGTTTTGCAACTTCAATTCTGATTATAGGATTTGTTCTTAATAAAATCGGCAACATGATTTAATACAACTCAATCTCTTTAAGAGGGCCATGCAGATCTGAGTTAGTTGAAAACTTAATTTTGGCACCTTTACTATTTAAGTTCTTGTTAAGTTCTTATTAAGTTTTTTTTTTAAATCTTAGAGTTTCTTACTAGGAAATTTTTATTAAGATTTTTACAGTAACTTAACAAGATCTTATTAAGATTTTATTAAGTTACTGTAAAAATCTTAGTAAAAATTTCCTAGTAAGAAACTCTAAGATCTTATTAAGATCTTATTAAGTTACTGTAAAAATCTTAGTAAAAATTTCCTAGTAAGAAACTCTAAGATCTTATTAAGATCTTAATAAGATCTTATTAAGATCTAGTAAGATCTTAAGGATGACAAAGACATTAAGATATTGACAAGATCTTATTAAGAAATCTTTTAAGATATGATATCTTAATAAGATCTTACAAGAACTTAATAAGATCTTAATCTTAATAAGCATCTTACAAGATTCTTACAAGATCTTACAAGATCTTACAAGATCTTAATAAGATTTCCACCTGGGTTAGTATGCATGTTAGTGATGAATGGAGATTTGTCTGCATCTATATGCATTTACAATAAGGAAAGTTCAAGGGCCTCGATTCGAGAGAAATACATCACTGCCAGAGATGAGAACATGGTATGTCATTTCAATCATATTTACCAAAAATAAACCGCATGCTCATCACAAGACTTATTTGCATACAATAAAAGTTTAAACACCCTACCAGTTAGCCTTTGCTAATTAAGATTTTTTTTCGACCACTGAAGTTAATCACTGAAGTTCACTTGTTCTAAAGTTATCAACTCTTTCAAGTGATAGAATTCGTGGACTGACCTGTTCTGGAAAAGCTCTAAATCGCATTTATTAATCTTTCCTAAACTTTCTTCGCAAAACATGCATGGCTTCAGTCACACAATAAGAGGATCCTTTTTTGCAGCACGGTCGGAAATATCAAAAAAGCTTAAAATAACCACCATATAGACACGATACGTACATCTTTTGTTTTCTTGTCAAACCAGTGGCTAATGTCCTTTCCTGCAGCTTCAATGACTGGTTTTAAAAGAACATCACCTTAAACAACAACAACAATCAGCAGGTGAAGATCAGACCCATTGTTCCCATGTGACTGTCACTTAATAAGGCTTTAGAGAAGTATGAGTTTGTGAGTTGACTAACATGCTAGCTCAATATGGTTACAGCACTGAGCTCACATTGAAAAGATCGGACTTCAAATCCCAGGAAGCATGGTTATCGAAGTGGTCAAATTTTTTAATCATGGCAAGCCTGAATTTTTTAAGGCTTTCTTTTCCAGCTGCATAAGTTGCAACTTTTTGACTGCAATCTTTGCATTTACACTCTGTTAGGTGAGACAATGAAAACCAATCAACATGGACATTATTTTCTTTAATTTCCCTGGAAAATACATGTAGTATCAATAAAGGAGCTTTATTTTAAGGCACAGAAAAATGGGCAACAAAAAATGTGCAACTGGTCCTTCAACATTGTTGCAAAATGAGTTAAATAGAGATGGTGCACATTTTACCACCCACATCAAACCTGTCTTGCATTACAAGTCAGGTTGTCAACAGGTTTGAACGTGGGTGGTAAAACGTGCAACATTGCTATTCAACTTGTTTTGCAACAATGTTGCAAGACAGGTTGCACGTGTTTTGTTACCCATTTTCCCATACCCTAATATAACATGTTCTTCAGATATTTTGTAAACTTTCATCTCACAACTCCATTCAAATATTCAAGACTACTGGTCATGCATGACAGAGCAAAGTTTTCCTGGGTAGGCAAGTTATCCCTAGCAGAGCATAATTTACAGGGCAGGTAGGGTATTACCCATGGCACTCGGGTTAAACCCTAGAACTCAGCCATAATATTGTAGGGTTACCAGGGATGTAGCTATGTGTATGAAAAAGCTTGGCTTATGATGTCGTGATTAACTATTTTGGGGATCTGTGAATCGTGATGTACTGAAAAACTGTTCTGTGAATCACAATTGAAGTGTACTCCGTGAAACCTGAATTAACTGCCAAAATTAAAAATCCTTGATTGTTTACACATACTGTACATTGAAGATCAATTCGAAGAAAATAAATCATTAATTTGGCCAAACGACCTTAACTAGCATTTGGTGGCTTGATTTAACTTCACTTTTGAGTCTTTTGATGTAACTTCACACTTTAGTGTGCGCAGACCCATCTACAGCTGGCTTCCCTGGGGAATTAATAACTGTGCGGTGTTTTTCATATTAGGTTCGTAAAACTCTAGTTAACTTGCTAAAATATAATCAAAGCACTCTGTTTTACAAAATGGGACTAACGTGGTGTTTCTGACATTTTGTACGACCTCTATTTTTGATGAGTGAGAAGACATAAATATTTGTTTCGTGACTCGTGAAACACAAAATTGTTGTTCATGAACTCGTGACGAAAACCCCCCTAATGCCCCCCTATCAATCAGTTCCACAATCCTGGAAAAAGCCTTTGGCAAAAATGCTGTCCAGTTGTTTTAACCTGTAAAACATATCCACCATGCACGAATCTTGTGAGAATTCTTGCGAGTTAGCTCTTGGTTTTTAAGAGCTAAACTGTGATTGACTAATGTCCTGCATCACAGAAATCATTCGGTGGCTCGGGTTCGCAGACGTTTTTTTTCAAGTGGAGAGAAGTGACAACCACAAATATGTCTGTATTTGTAGGCTAACCAGTACGAGGTTAGTTAACCTCTTGCTTACACTGAGACCAAAATGCCTGGGGGGCCAAAATGCCAGTATAACTGCCAAATTCGTCTGCATTCAGTCTTGAAAACCCAGTTCAGAAGTTAATAAATTTTACAAGCCGATAAAATTAATAGTCTATAAAATAATATTTGGGTTTCACCCAAAATAGTGCATGTAGCATTTCACACGTCCTCTTATGGTCACTGCCAAAGTTTTTCAACCCGTCAGATACAAAATTTCGTAAGTCGCTCTTAAAATACGTTTAAGGATAAAAACATGTTATCCTTCAAAAATACATATTTAAGATTTTATAGCACCTTCAAAAAAGTATCAAACGTGTTTAAGCTTATCGTGTATTACCTCCTCAATTGAAAACAACATTAAGCTTAACTGTTGAAGGACAGCTAGTTAAAAAACGTACCTGCGTGTTTTTCACAAAGGGGTGTTAAGTCGTACACTTTACCTAAAAAAGACACCCATAAATCCTTCAAAGTATTGTGAATGCTCACTTCGTTCGGCGTGAAATATTTTGGCCGTTTGTTAGTAGTTTTAGCTGGCATTTTTCAGCTGCGTTCAATAGATTCTTCTTCGATACGGCTTTCTGTCCTTGACTAAAGTTTCCTTGGCAACTAGTTGTCAGGAAGGTTTTTTTGCTGCAGTTACATGACCACAATTCCATCTTGAAAATTGCCGCTGACCATTAAATGCGCTAACAGAGGTCGAGGATCGAGGATCGAGGAGGATACTGAGGATGACTCGTTTCTGACTGAAATGCTGTATTATCCTGATTTCTAGATGGATGTGGTTGGCCGTAAATGTTGAATTTAACATGATTCCTCTACGCTAAGAGATTGTTTCACTTTGATTTGAGGATCCTTGGTTAACATTGGTAAGACTCTGAGAGGGGTTATCTATAAACTTAGTCTTAGTTTCACAAAGGTTGCCTATAATCGTGAATTGGACACTGGCGAGTGTAATCTGAAAAAGTTAACATCTTATGTAATTTAAAACTTTGGACAATGGCCATCACCAGGACAACATTTGGTGGGTACCCATTTGGTGCCCTTTACATGCATGTATGTCATGTATGTAGCAGTTGCTGTCGTTTAGATTCTTCTGCCATTAAGCTTATATATTGCAAGGTTTTGCTTTGGCATTTGTACCCACTTTCATGTTCTAAATGGTGTTGATGGATTGCAATGGAATTGCATGTTAACATGGCAATGCATGTCAGCACTGAGTATTCTACAGTACAGTGTAGGTGTATTTTCCTCTGGTGATGGCTGTTACAGAGTTCACATGGTGGTTTCAATAGCAGTAAATTGCTGACTTGGACAGTTTTTCATGGCCATTGTTTGAAGATGGAAAATGCATTTTGTGGGAATTAACTTAATCAAATGCATTCAAACTTAATCAATCAATTAATGGTCTCAAATAAATTCATAAAGAAATAATGCAATATTACAGGTGGACCCAGTAGTTTACATTGTGGACCAGAAAAGGGGTGTGAGAGATCAATAAAATTATTGCCTTCAATTTCAATCCAAATCATACACAATAGAACTCATTCAAATGTTCTAAACTATCAATAGGAACAGACCAGATTTTTTTGAGTGGTATCCCATACCAAGCATGAGTAGCTTGAAATCCATACCATACCATGAACTGGTTGTAAGGTTGTATTAGATATTTTTCTTACCATCAAAATACATTGCTCACCCGTAACATTTTGTAAGGGACCTAGTAAAAGAAAATATTCAGCAAAACAGGCACGTTTCCCCTATTTATTTCCTTTTTAAATCAAATGTATTATCTAATTTTACCATCACATCCAATCAATGATAAAAGAGGTAAAAGCCTTAACCTTTCCCCCCCTTAGTTGTTAGTTGATCTCATTACCTGTAAGTGTGATGATTCAATTTTAATGTATTTCTTATGCAGTCTTCAGTTGTTTCTGCGGTTATTTAAAAATGGCAATGCGTGATTTGGTGGAGGGTGAATGTGGGAGCGCAAACCCTTTAATGAAACTTGTCACACACTTTACACAAGATCAGTCATTCCAACAGGTAAGCATTTTAATGCAGTTTCTCTTTACCAGTTTTCAAGTGGTATAGTCTGCAAAAACAGCCGTTTCCCCTCACTCCTCGCTGCTGGGGATGTTTTACGAGGAGGAATGTCTGCGACTCAGTGACAGATATTCCATACTGATGACGTAAAATCTGTCCAGAATCCGGTCAGAAGCGCTGATTCGTTGACGGAGTAGTTGCATTGTTTAGCTATTGTTTACGAATGACAGACAAAAGACAAAAGACAAAAGGCCACAATGGTCAAATGTAAACACTATGAATCTCTAACAAACAGTCAATATTTGTGGAATATAGTCTTTTCCAGAAGAGGCATATTTTGAGTTTTTCGTGAGCCCGTTCACGGATAAACACAACACTTTACCAAAATCGCCTGGGAGATACGTAAAATTGATCAAATTTGCATTTGGAACCCTATGACTACCGGATTTATTATGTAAACATTGATTTACGTCATCAGTATGGAATTTCTGCCGCTGAGACACGGACGTTCCTCCATGCAAAACGTCCCCAGTAGCAAAGAGCGAGGAGAAATGGCTGTCTTCGTAGGCTATAAGTGGTAGTATAGGTACATGTACGTAAATACTATGATTCACCTTTAAATTTTTATTTTGTAGACATTACTCTTCAACTTCTTAATCTTCTTTTTCTATCTGAAATACAAATTTAGGAGGGTCTGGTGCAAGACAGATTTGGACCCCACAGAGAATTGGTAATATGTTTAAGTACAAATATTATGATAAAATAGTAATAACAATAATAATATTGATAACAGTAATCTATTTTGTTATGTAGCTAGAAATTTCTTCCTAACAGTGTGCGCTCTCATCGGTTACTTTGAGGTCACATGACATCTAACAATGAAACTGTTTCTCCCCAAAATCTCTGAGTGGGCAACATTGCAAAATCTATGACATCAGAGGGTAACAGTGCACTGTTACCTGCTAATGTTGACCATTTATCTCTGTTACAAGGAGGTTTAATGAATTTCCAGCTTCCAAAAATTTCCAGCTATATACAAATCACAGAAAGACTGATCCTTCAGGAAACAGTTTATTTTGTTTCCCTCAAATCTCAATGTTTTCTGAGGCAAAGTTGAAGGAATCATTATTATTCCAGGGAAACAAAATGGGATGGACCAGTCATTTAGTGGTTAATAATGAATTATCATAATAGCGATACCCAGTAACAATCTGACAGTGAACAAAAAAAGGTGCTTACTGTTAAATTATTTCTCTTTTTATTGTACAAGTGCTTCCTTGCCCATTACTGAAGTTATTATTTTTTAAAACAAGGTTGTCAATTTTACGATGATTATTTTTCAGGGTGAAAGGGCTTTTCATGAGACACATCAAGATGAGGTATTTTATTTCATTTTTAATAGTTATTTTTATTGAAGGCTTCCTGCATGTTATGTGCAAAAAGGGGTGTAAATGAGGATTTTCTACCAAAAACCTCATGATGGTGATGATGATGGTTTGGAATTTTTGCCTTTTCACCCAAAGGGAATCACTTGTCTTTTGTCACTCATAGGAAAAGAAATGAGAATTATTTTGTTGACTACATTATTTTATTGTCCACAGATACATGTAACCCCAGAATGGGGCTTTGCAAATGAAAAGTGCTTGTCACCATTATTTCCAGATCCTTTTTGTTTCCATGCATTCTGAGGTTTACGAATTTGTCAGAATTTGTGTTGTGCGTGGATCTCAAGTCACCTTCGTATAAATATATATATTGGGTTAGTGTCTGCAATTTTCTACCAACAAAACTGCACGAAACAAATTAAACCTCTTCTCGAAGTTCAAACATCTTAATCTGCCATAGCCTGCGAGCAAGCTATCCTATTTGGGCGAGCAAAGCAAGTCTCGCGAGAACGCGAGAAAAGGAGAGCTTGCAACAATCTCTCATAAAATTTCATTTGTACTTCACTCAGACGAAGGGAAATACAATTGGCTGAAAAATGACGTTCCGGAAAACAAAGTTGATTGATAACAGGCCAAGCTGGCACCTCCTTCGTCGGCGTGTCAAGTTTGGTTCTCAGGGGGATCAGATTGGTACCGACAACTTGTTTCAGCCCTCAAAGCAGACCAGGGGGCTCGTTTAATTTAGTTCTCGCAAAGAGAATACATGAATTGCGAGCCGAGGATAAGTTGGACCAAGTTTATAGTTCTTGTGGAAGGAAAATGAAAACCCTTTCTCAGTTGTATTCGTTTGTGTCAAGCGCGTTGTTAAGTTCTGAAAATAAGAAGAGTGAAAGTGAAGAGAGATTCAAGCACCCGGTTCAAGCACTGCCTTCCAACGTCGGTTTCTTCCACCGGGTAGAAAAAATCAGAAACATGTACTTGACAATGTAGCTGTGTAGCTTGACTGTAAAGAAGGGCAAGAGAAAGAGTTGGTAGCAACTGGAGTACAACTTAAGAGAACCAAGTCCAGGTAAACGCTACTCTCCAGTTCTGGAACGGACAAATATATCTAATGTTTTTGTTGGTGATTGCGACGGGGAGTAGTCTTCTACGCTGTAGTATGGACGACTTTTCAAAAGTAAACGAAACGAGAATCAAAGTATTGAGTTCTCATCCGAGCAGACACGTTGATATCTTCAGTGATTAAAAATATTGTTTTGGTGCTGTTGCAAAAGTGATTTATTAGGGATGGACCATTAGAAAAGTTACAGGGGAGAGGGGAATTTTCGAGCCGCAGGAATTTTTTTTGTTATCAAATTCCTTGTATGAGTTTTTTAGGCCATAGCATGAATATTTTTTAGGATTATTTGGCGTGCAAGAATTTTTTTCATTTAATTTTCCCTTGCCCGAATATTTTTTTCTGTACCTCGCCTGCCCCCCCCCCCACCCATAAGTTTTCTAATGGTCGTCCCTAAATAAATAATTCTATGTGCCCTCAGCTGTCTAAACTTGACAGGCGGTTGTCACTTTTCTAATCTGCAGCACGTATGTGGTGACAGTTTTCATGCTTTGCTGAGTCCAGGGGGCTTCCAGGGTGGAAATGAAAATTTATGAGAGATCGTTGCAAGCTCTCCTTTCCTCTGCCCCTTGCTTGCGCGTTATCACAAGGCTCGCTTCGCTCGCCCAAATAGGAGAGCTTGCTCGCAGGCTAAATCTACCATCAGGAGCAAAAGCTAGCATAGTGCTAGCTATAGATTTGTTAAGAACATTTTGGGTAGGTTTGGTTCTGTTTGTCTGCTAGCCAATGCCTAAGTCCTCATATTGGCCACCACTGTACTTGCACCTAGCAGGATTTGAGTATGCACCATTATTTGCTTCTGTAAAGAGCCATTGTTGATCTGCCAATCAGGTTGATAGGAAATTGTTAGAAATGCACTTTTGGTTAATTGTTGAGTTTTTTGGGCCCCAGGCTTTGCAGACGTTACAAGCTGGGGTTAAATTACATCTGCGACACAGAGTACATTTTTTATTAAATAAAAAATGTACCCTGTTCATAGACAATACTACTCCTAAGATACAAAAGGTAGCAATAAATACTGGCAGTAAACGTAAAAGAGATGTTTGAAAAAATATTTAACTGATATACACTTTTGTTTTTGTTATCCCTTAGTTGGTGTCAGAATTTCTCCATGATCCAAGGACACATGCCCCTCCCCAGTCATTTCGCATGGGTGATTTGTTACATGAAATGAAAGAAATTGAGCAGAGAAACTTTCATCATACTCCTGTTAGAGGTGGGTTAATTCTAGTCAATTCTTTGTATTGGGTTTGGAAGTCGTAAGTAGTAATTTATTATTTGGAGGAGACTTGTCTGAAAGTGTTCTACATGTAAGTCAGGATCAGCAATGCCCACATATAGCACTGCGCACAGATTCTAAAAGTAGTCTACATCTGATAAGACCCCCCGCATGACTCCTACAAACTTTGCTTCTCACTCAGAGGCTTTGTATGCACGTTTACCAAGCGTTGAGTCAAAACATTGTTTTTTTCACGTATTTTTACTGGGATATGGCAAACAACAAGCATTACAGCTGGGAAGAATGTGACAGGAACTCAAGGATCCCGGAAAGAAAGCAAAGTGCGCTGTGTTTTGTGGCAGTGATCAGGCAGCTGGGAAATGTTTTGAAAGAGGTAGATACATGACAGTCTTAAATTTATTCCATTTTCACAAATTCTCCGATTTAATTCTTCTAAAAACATAAAATGCTTCTGTAGAAATCTCAAGCGATTTCAAACATTGCCTTTGGTTTGAGGTAGACTCAATTGTCGACCTTTGTTCATTTTGTGAATTCTCATGGTTTTCAACACCTCACCGGCGTGACGCACTGAGTTAGTTTTCAGGATATCCAGAAAAATTACGGTCAAAACCTCCCTGAAACATTAGATGTTTGTTCGCAAATGCCAAGCAATTCTGAAACAGGTTTGGTCTTCTAGTGGACGAATTCCCTGAGCTTGAACATTATTTGAATCTCGAATCCCGGGGACGGCCCGGAATGGCCCAGCAGTCTAAAATGTTTTTCACGAAAATCTGAAGTTATCAAATATCTGGTACGACTATGACTCCTTCTACTTCGGCACAGAAATCGAAATTTCTAAACAATTATCAAATTTTCTTTAAAGAATTTGATGAGAATTCTTTGAAAACATTTACCGGCTGGGCTGCACATAAGGTATCGAGACACGGCATTCAAAAGTTCTCCCGTACGATACAGAAGACGTTAAAACAGCGCTGCTTTAGCGACTTATTAGCGCTGCAACGAGCGCTGCAGAAAGGTTGCACGAACGCTGTTTTCCGTTCGCTGCAGCAGTGCATTTTTGTGACTGCGTGAACGCTGCGGTAGCCACACTGAGAGCTGCAGGAGCGCTGCCGTAAAGATGCAAAAAAATAGCCACACGAGGCCATACGGTCGATAAACAGCTTTTATGCAGCGCTGTGCAGCATTAGTGAAGCGCTGCCAAGAACAGTTGTACGAAAAAAAGAAATGCAGACTTCAACAATACAATAATCATGAGACATGGTAAAGGAGTTGACAAGAGGCCTTATAGTAGCGGAGTAAAAACCACAAGAAATACAAAATGCAACTGATACTTTATTAGTATTCACGCTGCACCGCGTTACAAAAGCAGGTGACATATAAAAATCTACGACAGTCTCGCTTTGTAAATATTCAGCAATCACGGTCACTCATCTAAATGTAAGAACATCCATTAACATGCCGACATTGAAGTTTATCTTTTTTTTAAAATAAAGAGAATAAGAGCGATTGTTCTACATAAAGTTTGCACGGACAGCAGCCAAATGATGTTTTGATTCGTTGCAACAGCCTAACATCGCTCACCTTGACGTTTTGTCCATGATCCACGATCTGCCGTCACTGTTTTCATGAAAGAAATCAACCCAATTTTACCTTGGTCGCCGTTAAATTTACAATGGACTAAGGAACGTACATCATCGTGAACGTTTGAATCTTGTAAATACATGCGCACCCCAGCTCAGATTCTTGTATCTGTGTTGCTTGCTCTGGTTCGATTAAATCGGTACTTGGCGTAGAATTCACTGAACAGTGCCGTTGTTTACAAATACCTTTGAGCTGTTCCATCCAAAAACATCAACAGAACTTCCACCTCGAAACACTGAACTAGATGCTAAACACTTACAATGTATGAATGTTTGCGCCTTTCATTCAACGGTCGCAAATGTTTGTCCAGCGATGTAATGTGATCTGATGCAAAAGTGCCGACCAATTAGATTACAGCCTAGAATGTCTCCAGGGAATTAGCGATAACATTCCCACACTCGCCAGTCACGGAATAAAATTTATTGAAATCTTTATTGGACTTTATTCCAAAAGCATAGAATTTGGAGGTTTATTCAATAAGTGATCTTCCCTGCGTACAAGCTTACTCACATTTCTTAGAGGTACAGTCAAAGTTTTCTCGTTATGAAAGCCGTAATCTGTGGCAAAAGGCTTTTCTGGCGGTTCATGTTATGAGCGCTCAAGAACGTTGTGCTATCAGATCCAGCGTAGCTGAATTGTAGCGTTACTGCAGCTATTGAAAGTCGGCAACTGCGCTGCAAAACTGCTGCCGAGAGCTTCAAAGGCAGCACCAGCGCTTTTGCATCCCGCTGCAACTTGGATTAAGCTGTTGTTTGGCTTCTAAAATGCTGCTAAACAGCTGTAATTTAGCTGTACAGCTATTTTGTGGCGCCGTACAGCGCTGCAAGTTTCGTACGGTTTTGCTCTCCAGGGTTTTAATTTTGAAGATCTTTAAGTCCTTATTTGGTATCTGCAGCGTTGTGCAGCGATAATGCAGCCTCAAGCGTCGCTTGTATTCAGGTTGTCATATGGAGTGGTTTCAATGTTTATATCTAAGTCTCATTGCAGCTTTTAAGCAGCGGCCCGCAGCGCTGCTTTACCGCTGCTTTACCGTGGCAAAATTTTGCAGCGCTTTCGCAGTGCACGAAATGTGACGTTCTCTGCTTTAGCGACTCACGAGCACTGCTTTACAGACGCTTAAGCGCTGTGCAACCATAAAAGTGAACTGCTGCAGCGCTGCGGCAGCGTTGCGTCGTTCGTACGGGCTCTCATTTTCCGCTCTGCTTCAATCCTTTGCACTTGAGCAATGTTTTGATTTATTCTACATTATATTTTCCTGGATGTTCCGTGAATTTCGAAACTGAAATGCTCCTAAAAACGCTAAAAAGGTGAGCAGAACTGATCACAAACTTTGCGTTTCCATACAGCGTTCTTGTGACCTCAAGCAGAAATGGCCAATGTTTGTCTGAGTCTCAGTGGGGGTCACGTTTTTGTGACATCGTCTGTGCTTAATGCTATTGTAATCATAGTGCAAACATTAAGTGTTAGTTTGCAATAAATTGTTTGACATCTTTACATGAGTTTTTTTGAACTGGATCTTCCCGATACACAGGTATAACTTTCTTTTGTGATTTGCATTCAAGCTCTACTGCATTTTAGATAATCTCACACATGACAATGTTGTTATAGATCAAAATGGTTTATGAGGTGTATGACAGCAGCAGAAATTGAGCCTACATGTACCTCTAAAATTTACGGTGCAGTTAACTTTGATAAACTTGAATGAGACTGTTGTGTGAGTATACTCCACCGTTCACACAGTCTTGAAAAGACCTTAAATTTTAGGGGAAGTCCTTGAAAACTCCTTATCTTTCTGTGCAAGTCCTTGAAAAGTCCTTGAATTTTCTTTAACTTTCAATTCAGTGGCCTGGAAAGTGTTTTTGATGCTTTTTTTTGGTTGTCCAAGACAGAATATTAATCATAACTCAGAGAATTTAAGGGTTATTTACTAGGGTGCAAAGAAAATCATTTTTACAGCTTGCCATTCGAGCAAGCTGAAGCTAACATTAAGTTACTAGCCCAAGCATCATTCCAGCTAGCCCCAGAAACGTTTTGATGAGCACATTGATTTCACAGTTCTTCTGTAATTTGAATTCCTCAAAAAACTTCACTTGCCTGTCGGGCAAGTTAATAACAGAATTCACTAGCCTGATAGCAAAATCCACTAGCCCCGGGCTATCGCACACTACTTTCTTTGCACGCTGTTTACAGAAAGTGCTCAATGTTTTATGCAATAATTAACTATCAATTGAAGACAAGTGAAAGTCTGAAAAATGTAGAGGGGTTGATGAAGCAAACAGTTCAAGCCTTAAAGAATACTATTATTAGAATAGACTGGGAATGTGCATTTTTGTACAATCTGTGAAATTATATTCCTGGTGGGTGGTAGTTGAAAATCTAATGTGGTCCTTGAAAAGTCCTTGAAAAATGGTTGCAAGTTTTATTTGTATGAACCCTGTACTCATATAATATTTGGTTCATTAATATTCAGCTTATACTTAACAATTATGTCATTTTTTAAAACAATATAAATTAGCTCCTGGTATTGCTGATTTGGCATCAAGTGAATGGGCTGCAGAGTACATGTCAACAGAAGTCCAAAGAGCTGAAGGTATGACTGGTTACTTATCAGATACATAATACATTGAAATACAGTCTAGTATTAAACTGTGTTAAAGTTAGCTATCAGAAGTTAAGAGGCAGCAGTTGTAGGATTTAATTCATCATTCATTTAGGCAGCCTCAGCTGAACTAGTCAGCTGGCTGCGTAGTCTGCTTTACTGTTCATGCGGGTTGAGAGTTTGCTGGTGGGTGCCACCCCAATGTCCTGCATCAGGTTGTCTATGAATGTACATTCAGGGCTTCTGATATTTCGCGAAAAAAAAAACAAAATTTCGCTGGATTTTCAGGGGCAAATTCACGGAAAAATCGGGAAAAAAGTAAAAATTCGTTGAAAAATCGGTCGACTTCGCGGGATTTTCGGGGGAGGAAAGTCAAAATTCGCAGAAAACTCGCCCAATTTCGCGGGATTTTAGCGGAAAAAAGTCAAATTTTGAAGGATTTTCAGGGCAAATTCTTAGAAAAATTGGCCGATTTCACGGGAAATTTCGGGGAAACTTCGCCAAGAAACAATCAGTAAAAAACAGCCGATTTCGCTGGATTTTGTTTGGTAAATTTCGCTAAAATCGATCAATTTTGCGCCGATATGACCAGTGTTGTTTAACGTTTTTTTTAACAGGGATAATCATTTGCTCTTTCAGCAACAACCTCGTTCCCAGGGTTCTCTCCTACCCGCCCTATGGAGCGCGTAGGGCGGGTAGGAGAGAACTCTGGGAACGAGGTTGTTTCAACAACAGTTCGCTTGAGAGATGAGCGAATGCTAAAGCTATTAACATTGTGGTTAGTGCCCAGTTTTTCGCAACATTAATCTCAGAACGCCTAGTAGTTTTGGGACGTTGTTTATTCGTTGCAGTGACGAAGTTTCAAGGTAAATTTGGACGTTTGAGGTGAATAAAACAGGTCTAATAGCCAAGATAAGTATTACATATGTTTTGCCGACATGTATTTGGAAATATTTCTAGCGGATTTCGTGGTATTTCGCGTTTTTTTGGGAATTTCGCAGGATTTCGCTGAAAAGCCTGAATTTCACGGGTCCGCGACCGCGCGAAATATCAGAAGCCCTGTGCATTGTAGACACTGGGCGACTGCATTGTACAGCTGTAAGTGTCTGTAATTTGGCCTCCACCGGACAAGCTGGCTTGCTGGCAATTTCAGTGATAGTGGCAATGGCCAGCAAGACCATGCCTTTTGAATCCATTCCGGTCTGACAAGGTTGGATGGTTGCAGTACAGTTTGGCATTGGGGACTTGCTCCCGCCAACTGGTGTTAAGGACGCTGCGGAGCATGCGGGTATATGTTCCACTGAGGGACTTTTCCTAGTGATAGTAAGGATTATAGGAGTAGGATTTAATGGAGTTGTGGAATTACCTGTAACCTCATTTTAGGTATCCCACTGATGAACAGTTATTAATATTAGATATTTCCAGGAGCAGCAACAATAATAAAATTTAATAATAATACCATAAACTTTCACCAATAAACCCTCCCCCCAGTTGTAGGCCCATCTACAATGTACGGTGTACCTGTAAGATAAGATAAGATAAGATCATTTATTTAATGTCAGATACACAGGGGGTGGTCTCCCAATCCCCCGAGCCACGGGCTCATGATAAAAGTGTTTGACAATATAATAGAAAAATCAATTAATTAATATCTCAATAGCAACCAATTAACTTAAAAAAAAATAATAACATCCATCTATAAAAATAAATCGGGTCAAAGGCAATTGCTGCATTGACAACCGATAAAATTTAACTTAGTTAAAAGTCTCCGAAAGGATGATGCGTTAGGTGCGTTTTTTACAGCAGATGGCAACTGGTTCCAGATGTGTGAGGTCATGTACGCATATGAACCATGAAGGAATCTACTATTATAAGAAGTTTGAACAACATTTAGACCATTGCTTCTAAGATTATATGGTGTAACTCAGGGTTTGAATAAATTGGCTACATAGCCTGGACCATTCTCCTTGAAACATTTAAAAAATATCATTAAGGATTGTTCTATGCGTCTATGTTCTAAGGTATTCATCTGCCATCCTAAGAATTGATTCATAATTGGTACTTTTCCCCATGTTCATTATAGTTTGTAGACCATAATAGTTCGCATCTTCCAGTTTCTTGTTACGTGTTTTACCTATACCCAAAAGTAAAGAGTTGCAGTATTCAAAATGTGATAACACAAAGCTCTTGTAAAGAAGCAACATAGTATTTGCCGGTACTAAACGCTTAAGGCGGCAAAGTGTGCCTATCTTGGAATATACTTTCTTCAGCATGATACTTATATGTTCTCTAAAAGATAATTTGTTATCTAAACATATTCCTAGGATCTTTAAATGGTTGTTAATATCAATGGGAGTGCCGGCAAACTCCAGGTCGTATCGATAGGATGAGTTCCCAAGGATCATCGCCTGGGTCTTGTCCTCGTTAACCTGTAGATAGTTAGAGGCAAACGAGGAAGATAGTTTTTAAACAAAAAAAGCTTCAAAAAGCATGTAAATTTAAAAAGTTTGTTTAAACAGCACTGTTATGTCACTTTTTTGAAACACTTTTTTGAGTCTAGTTATAAGCCTCCCACCCCCACCCCTGGATATAAGCTCCTCCATTTTAGTCAGGAAGCACTTTCACGCAGGGCGCTCATTTTTCATTTTCGCTAAACATTTTGTAATGAGTAGAAGCAGGCAACATGGCTTAACGTCTTCATCTTGCCATCCTGATTAAGAATTGTGCTGTTGCCCACTCCAAATGTTATGATATCTGTCATTAAGAGGGTTTTCTGTCTAGGCCCTCGCTCCAGCAGCATGAAAACGAGGCTGAACTGTAACATTTATATAAACCCAATAAAAAGTGCACAATATGATGGGGAAATAGCTGAATCTTTGCTACTTGACATTAGAACTCAAAAGACATTAGTGTGGGAGATAAAATGCGTCACGTGATCAGTTATGAAGAGTCAGGTGACTTTCCAATAAAATCGTTTTTAAAGCATAAAAGACCCTCTATTCACACTTTCCTTTAATATAGTTTTCAACTTACTGACGTTTCTCTTTGCGATTTACACATCCAACAATAAAAACACAAAAATGCAATAAGCTGCAATAGGTGATCAACTATGATGGGTCACGTGACTAGATCACAACCATTGAATAGATACTGAATTAGCCTTAGCTGTGTGAATAGCGTGATTGATTAATTGTTTCAGTAAGCTCTTCAGGAATTATTTTCTCTAAGAAATAAAGAAAACTATGTTTCATGGGGTAAATATGTGCTTCAAAAAGTTTTATTTTCAGCAATGTATTTTGAAAATTAATTTTAAAATAGGTTTTTTTAATTATTTTTCTCAATTAAAAAAGACTGAATTCATACATTCACCTGAAGAATTCGATAAAAGGAGGAACCAGAGACAAGCGCAAGGAGAAAAAGAGCACAGGGATTAGGCGCAATGTGGATAACAGAGATCAGAGAATTGGAAACTGGGAAAGGTTCGTCATTCTAGAAGATAACAAAGCTAGCCTAGCTTATTTCCTCCCAACTGAAATCTCGGAGAGTTACAGCGCGCCTCCTGGGCGAGAGCTGGTGATCAATGGAGGCTTCAAGGATACACTGAAGGTGTGGTCATCTGACACATCACGACAAGATATAAGAGAGCCCGCATCAGATCATGAGGAGGCAGATACTAGAATGGTATACAAGCGAGTCAACATTTTGTGTCTTGATACGGATGTTCTTGTCCTCCTTTTGGCACACCGAGAGCAGCTTTGTCAAGAGATATGGATGTTTGTGGGTACATCAAGACAAAGGCGTTACATACCAGTTCACAGAATCCCACTCTCCGAGGAGAAGAGGAAGTCGCTTCTGGCATTTCATGCCATTACTGGCTGTGATACGACAAGCCAGTTTTATGGTGAGGGCAAGGCATCAGCATGGAAAGTCTTCGAAGATGTACCTGACCTCTTGGAACACCTTGGAGAAGAAAGCCAAATCAGTGCTGACGTTCTTGCCAAAGCTGAAGCCTTTGTATGCAAATTCTACACGAGAACACGAGAGGTGGAAATCAACAAAAAAAGAGCAGCAGCATTTCGCAAATCCAAGAAAGATCTTGATGCCCTACCTCTGACTCAAGATGCACTGATTCTCCACATAAAGCGGGCAAACTACCAGACCATGGTATGGCATAAAGCGCTGGAACCATGTCCTTCTCTCCCAAAGCCTGAAGACAGTAGATGGTACTACAGTGAAGGCCTTCTGAAGCGAAAGTTAATGACACGAGAAGAAGTGTAAGCGGCGTGTTTACAGTTAGCATACTGTGGGTGCTCCCAAGAAGGCGGATGCTGTGTAAACCAACGGCGCACTTGCGTTCAACTATCTCTTTACTGTTCCAAGGCATGTAAGTGTGGCGACAGGTGCAGAAACGACAGGAACACTGCAGCAGAGGCAAATGAAGCGTGACCTATAACTTTGATAAAGTGGAAGTCACATGGTGGTCGGATGGTGGTCGGATAGTCGGACGACACTTGGTCGAGACATGGTTGATAGTCGTTCCAGATGTGTCTCGGCCGGTAAAGCTTTTCGTTCACCGATACTTTATCGACACTTTGCCGATAGTTCATCGATACTTCACTGATGTATTGGTCAGTAATTGTCTTTATTTTGAACACAGTATAAAGCGAAAGGACAGAGCAAAAGGACAGGATAATGTAATGAGAACGTATGAGTATTTTCCTTGCTGTAAATGGAAATCATTCCCACAATAAATGAATGTGTTCAGTCTGCTGGATATTTTGTCACCTTCCTCAGCACATTATCAGCGCGTTTTATCAATAACTGATCGTTAAACAAAGGACTGTTCCCATCTTCAGTGCAGAAATATATAAGTTTAATTTGTGGTTTCCGCACAAGCGAGAACTCGGCGTGATGGAGCAGGTCAAAGCCCAATAATAAAAGATGTGCATTCCTCGCTCTTAAAGCATGTCATGAACTGCCCTTCCTATTCATTATTCGTCCACTTCGAACTGCGGGAGCAGTCATTTCCCTCATCTTTCTTTAAGTATTCTTCTACTGCAGGACCACAAGAGCAGCAGATTCAACTTAGGCTCTGACAGGTTCTGTTTAACAGCTAAAAATCAGACAATCGGTGAGGATACAAACTGGAAAAAAAAAGGTTACCATGTCCCTAGGTCCCAATGCTCTTCGGTTCGCTTCGTAGAGTAATCACGCCTCACACTGCCACATGTTCCCCCATCGCATGATAACAGTAATTATGACGTCATTGCTTAAAAAGAAAGCCATTGGACTCATCTGCTAAATTAACACACGACTGATATTTGACCGACAGTTGACTGATATACCACCAACTGTTGACGGATATGTCACCGACATATGACCGATAGTCGGTTGAGGTGCGTCGTCGAAATATCGACCGATACTCGGCTGATAGTCTATCCCACGATCGACTGACTATCGACCGACTATCAGACGACTATCAACCACTATATCGACCAAGTGTTGACCGACCATCGACCACTATATCGACCGATAGATGACTGAAAATAGAATGATTTCATTACATCACGTGACCCATCCTAGCTGATCACCTATTGCATTTTTGTGTTTTTATTGTTGGATGTGTAAATCGAAATGAGAAACGTCAGTAAGTTGAAAACTATATTAAAGGAAAGTGTGAATAGAGGGTCTTTTATGCTTTAAAATTGATTTTATTGGAAAGTCACGTGACTCTTCATAACTTATCACGTGACGCATTTTATCTCCCACACTACTGTCTATTGAGTTCTAAACGTCAAGTAGCAAAGATTCAGCTATTTCCCCATAGTATTGTGCACTTTTTATTGGGTTTATATAACTGTTACAGTTCAGCCTTGTTTTCATCTGCTGGAGCGAGGGCCTAGACAAAAAACCCGCTTAATGACAGATATCATAACATTTGGAGTGGGCAACAGCACAATTCTTAATCAGGATGGCAAGACGAAGATTTTAAGCTATGTTGCCTGCTTCTACTCAAAATGTTTAGCGAAAATCGTTTTTTGGCGAGCTGCCTCCTGACTATTATTTTATAAACCCTCCTAAAACCCCTCACAAAGTTGTATATGCACAGGGCTTATAAGCAGAAGTTTACGGTGTTCTTTTCTGCTATTCTGTGATGAAGGGATTAAAAGAGTAAATTGTAATCAAAAGTGGCCAAGTCTACTGTTAGATGATGGACTGATACCAAGCATGTTGGTTGCATTTATTGCAGAGTGGTCAAAAGAATATGAACATGAAGCAAGGCTACCAGTGCCAGTAGCAGGTATGTTACTTGTTTACTCTTAAAACCATTTCCATTTTCATGTTATCAGGTACTTTCTAACCCTAACCATTTCTGATACTACATATGAATAATTATTGATCAAGCGTAAACTCAAGATGGCTGGATATAGGGCAAGTTCTTTTCGAAGGAGGCTAATATCAAACCGTTGTGACCAAGCTTGGTGTAGCCAAGACAATTATTTCTTGCAGGGGTGAAGCAGGAAAAATGCAGCCATCTTGCCCCAGAATCCAAAACACTCCTTTTTGACAAGAGTTCTCTTGTAATATGTTCTTTTCCTGGTTTTTGTTCTTGCTCAGACACCCACAACTGTTGGGTATTTCATTGAAGAAGAACAGACTGAAGTTAATGTGACTTTCAATAGCTCAGTTTATTTTAAAACTGTGTGCTTGACTTCATCCATTTAAATTTGACAAATCCTCAATGATTTGCCATAAATGTAGTAACACATTGACTTAAAACAAGTATTTAGCAGTACATTAAGCTTGCAAACTCCACCATCAGTTCAATCAATTGATGAAATTTGATCGCCAGACCGCGATCTTCTGTCGTATGAATTTCAACGACTGCTTTAAATGTAAGGACTTTTCTGGTTCTTGCAAAGCCTAATGGCTACCCCACTTTTCACGGGTGATGTTTCTAAATGGGCATGTATTTTCTGTAATGTGTTCTTACAAAGAAGGTGCTTGAAATTGTCTCAATAAACCTTCTTACTTTTTTGTACTAGTAGTAGCCTTTAGTTGGTTTAACTTAAGATTATTATTTTTTACACACTGTAGCACAGTTGTTCATGGAACAAAAAGTTTCTTTCTAGGTGCATTTAACTTCAGATTTCAGTATGACTCACTGTGCTCATTGTTTACAGGTGTTCATAATGTTCCTACAAAGTGGGCTGATGAGTATTTAGAACATGTAAGGTAAGTATAAATTATAAAAAAGGTCTGCCACTTCTTTGGTGGTAATTTATTCAGTAAAGGTATTGTTAATATTGCATACAAAAATAAGCCTTTGTAATGTTCTAACTAGGCCTGCTCAAGTACCTTTTGGTGGCTGTTTGTTGTTTTTGTAGAAACTGTTGTCGCTTGTTGGTTGGGTATAATGTGTCGGGGTGCATCACTGTGAGTGATGTTCAGTGTCTTTTCAGTCTTTGTAATTTTGTTATTTGGTGGTCTCACTTATCCATAACACCAATAGTTTTATACATGTACATAAAACTTGTCTTTTGACAAACATAAACTGCAATGATGATTGTGGTTCATCCATTGTTAGAGTATGCTGGTCATGTTTGTCCTGAATTTAGTTATATGGCATATATCTTTGGATAACTGGTATATATGTTACAGGTCATTTGATTTCAGGTTATTTTTTATTTAACCTAGGTTGATTCTCAATTTCCTTTGTTTCCTAGCCCTAATTCATAAACAATTAGGTCCAGGAGACAAAGAAAATTGAGAATCAACGTAGGGTTGAAAGTTCAGGATCAGAGGAGGTGTCTCGCCCCAAAGCATTCAACTTTTATCAGAGAATCGCCCTAGGCATACTTTCTGAAGTTCCAATTACTCTTCATTTGGAAGAGGGTTTAGTCTTGACATTGGGTCAGCGAGAAGCACTTCTGTGCCAGGTTTGTACTTGATAGTGAAGTCATATCCTTGTATTCTGAGTAACATTATCTGGAGTCTTGGAGGAGCAGTTGTAAGATTCTTCAAGTGAATCATCTCAAGAGTTTTGTCATCTGACTCTACCATGAACCTCTTGCCAAACAAGTAGGAGTAATATTTCTCACAAGGAAAAAAAAACAGCAAGCAATATCACGCTCAATATTTGCATATTGTTTCTCAGTGTCAGTGAGTGCTCTAGGTGCGAAAGCAACAACTTTGCCTTCTTTCACTAATGCACTCCTCTAAGGGAGGCATCAACCTGGAGGATTGTTTCCTTCTAAGGATCAAAATATGTAAGTGAGACTTGACGGCAGATTGACTGGTTGATTTTCTCAAAAGCGGTACTGTGGGGAGGAAACCAGTGGAAGTCAGTGCCCTTCTTAAGCAAGTTCCTCAGAGGCTCAGACAAAGCAGACAGATTTGGAATAAAAGGAGCCATGTATTTTGCTATACCAAGGAGGGACTGGAGTTCTTGGGCATCTTGTTGGTCGTGGATGGCTCAGATAGCTTCCACCTTTTCTGGGTCAGGGTGTTCTCCTTCAGCATCGAATAACATTCTAAAGAATGTTATCATTCTTTAATAACACGCCATCGTCCACTGATTTGATTTTTGGGAGTAAGCCACGCTTGAAACCCAGTCAGTGGGCTCAGTCACAGGTTTAATAACACCAAGATTGACCATTTCATCAAGATCCTTTTTAACATCATCCTTAATGTGTATTGGGCACTTCCGTGGTGCATGAACTACAGGCAGCACATCAGGGTCAATGACAATGTGGTTTTGCCCTTCAAATCTGTCAATGCCATCAAAACGGTCAGGGTACAAAGCTTCATTTATTTATTTATTTTATTTTATTTGCCACACAAGGCCTACGCTTGGAGGTCACCTTTATCCTTAACTGCTGGGAGAGGCACTTTGCTAGAACATGTGCCTACTGCACAGAGTAACTCCACCAAGTTAAGTTGGCAACAAGTGGGTAGGCCACAAATGGCGGGGCCAGCGACACCGGCAACATAAAAACCTGCATCAGTTTCTTTGTCACCATAAGAGCTCTTGATAGAACATACTCCATGCTGGGGTATTTGGGTGCCATTGTATGCCGTCAGTTTGGTCTGACTCGGTGCTGTCTCCGTGGGAAGGCCATTTTCATCCACATGGTGTGAAAACATGTTCCGATAAATTCGCAAAGGCAGAATATTTCCTTGGGCGGCAGTGTCTACTTTTACTTTGAGCGCAGGGTTAGGATGATTAACATTAGGCAATTTTACTCGGAGCTTTGCAAAAGCTTCATCTTTTACTGGAGTAACATTGGAACTGTCAATCTGAATTGTCTCAAAACACAACTCATCAGAGTCTGAATTTGTCTCTTCAACTGTGTGTACCTTGTCCTGACTTGTCTTGGCCTGTGGTATCCAACCCCAAGGCTGCTTCCGAAGTGAAGGCTTGGCTTTCTGGTCCTGTGCTTGTTTATTTCTGCACACTTGTTCCCAGTGGTTCCACTGGTTAAACTTTCTGCACCTTCTACCTTGAGCTGGGCACTTTCTTTCATGGCTGACACCACATTTTCCACATCTGAGGTTGAATTCTGTCTGATAGCATCTATGTTAGTGTCATGAGAACGGGCGGATGCTGATGCACCTCGTTGCTCAAGGGATTTCATGTCAATGACCGCATCTTCCCTTGTCCTGGCAATGTCCATTGCTTTGTCAAGCTTTAACTTATCATCCTTTCCTAAGAGGACTTCTTGTATCTTTCGTTCGCGAGTACCAATAATTAGTTGCTCAATTATACGCTCCTCCAGTTTGGCTTCACTGAATCGACATTTCTGGGTCTGTATTTTGCACCTGGCCGTGAACGGATCTACGCTTTCATCATCTGCCTGTCTGTGAAACCTTGCAGTTGGTACCTTGCAATCCAAAAATTTGACTTAGATTCCAGGTACGTTGCAAACTTGTCAAAAAATCGCGTCAGGTTTTGCTTTCTCATCAGCGGTCAAGTCAAAAGAGTCAAAGATTTTTCGGCCCTCTTCGCCAATCCAGAGTAGAATATAGGTTGCCTTGACTTTGTCCTCTTTCGCGTTCATAGGCCCATCAAAGATTAGCTGACAATATTGTTTGAAACTTTTAAATGCCGTGTGTAAGTCAGAGTCATTCCATTCCATCTGAGGCGGCTTAATTTCTGAAAGCTCGCCCTTGTTTGTGAGAAAAATATGTCGGGTGGTAGAATTACGAAGATACTCGGCTGCACGCTACGAATGATTGACTTTGTAATCCTGGTTCATCGGGTCCACCTCAATGTTTTAGAAGTCAAAACTTCATTGGGCCTGTTGAATTATCCCACTTCTGACACCATGTTAAAATATCATGAACAGACTATGATATCTGGGACGAGATAAACGGATAGATGAACACAACTTTAATACACCCGAGTAACAAGATGGCGGGCCCCAAAGACAAGAAACTCAGGCCAGTCCCTAGCATATAGCATACTATAGCACCCGGCAAGTGTAATTTCTTGGAAATTTCCACCCGGGATCCTGGGATCCCAGCTAACCGGGCTGGCTCAGTTGTCATATAATCGCAAAGTTGATTTTTGTTGCGTGTACTAAGGTGCCGTGATCTCTGCAAAGCGAGCCGGCCCGGCTCATGTGTAATCAGGCCCTTAGTTCTATAGCCAGATTTTACGCCCTCCCCCTTGACTTCACAGATTTTTTAAAGCCCGCGAGCACACACACAAAATTTTAGCCCCACCCCCTCAACATCTTCATACCCCCTTCTCTATATTAAATAAAATTTCCCTTATCCATGTTCTCTTCATACAAAAATTTTCAAAAATAAGGAGAAAACAATCCTTAACAGAAAGCCTAACAACGTTTGAAATAAATACTATTGATGAGACTTTTCACAACCACCACTTCATTTCAACATACTGTAACTACACCATCCCTTCATAACCAAATTAGCACTTCCACAACTACCTCACTGCAACACCTAAAATCACTTTTACTTCCCCCCAAACTTATTTTTTGTTACTTCGTATTTAACTCCACTCTCCTTTTCGTCTTTTATTATGGCTAAGGATGTTTAGAAGTATAACATTTAAATGTGTTTATGATTCAAACAGTGAGTACAGTGATGCATCAGTTTAAAGGTTCATATTATAGTGTGTCCCCAGTGTGTCTTCGGCTTCAAGACATTTATGACCTAATTCGGCTATCACTAACGGTACAACATACGTATTTCATAACCCATGAGTTATGCTTCATCTGCTTGAAGGTGAATTACACAAGAAATCATATATTTTCCAAAGGTCTACTAATGCAACTTTAATAATTGATATCATCTAGATTTTGACTTTAACTCGGCACTATGCGGCGTAATTGTGTTTTTAAAGTTTTAAAGAGAGCTGTACCGAGTAAAACAATTCTGTTAACATGCTTTGTTTTCTTGCGTATTAAGTTAAACAGACCTTTTCCGTTGCGGCAAATTAAACAGTCTTAAAAGTAGTTAAAACGTATTTAATTTACCCAGTGGCTTAATGAAGATGCGTAACTTTTGTTGAAACAATACCATTAGCGAATAAACTTGGAAGAAGCCAGTTGACAAAATAATAACATGAGATGAGTAGAAATCAGTATTTCAGCTGTTTGATTATTTTGTTGGAAGTATATGACGTTAGGGTATCAATCTTACCATTGAACGATGCATAATTTTATTGCAGATGTTCGAAGAGGAGAAATTTGAGAAAATTGATCCCGTAAACAATTTGCATTCTTTCACGGACGAACTGAAAAAGGGACAAAGTCCAATATATTCGCGTATAAATTGTGTGCATGAAAGTTATTAGTAGTAATGTATCGGTCAAATCGAAGCTTCAACATGCCCCCCCGGGCATACCCCGGGCATTTGACTCCTTTGACACCTTTGCCGTCCTGGGGAGGAGGGAATTTGATTATCAGAGTCTTCCAGGGGGTGGGGAATTTGATCCCCATGCTTTAGGGATGGGGAATTTGAACTGCGCCCTCGATTTCATATAAAATCTTTGGCGTGGCGAGCTATGATGGGGGACGCGGTATTAGAGGATTTTGGTGGAAACGATTGTGCCTTTGTGGCCAATTGGTTACAAGGAAAGGGCTTAAACAAGCTTTGTGCCGTTTTTGAAGTATTTAAATTTTAAATTTTTTAATATTGGATTCAGGCTTTGAATGTATGAATGTATGTTATTGTTGTGTTTACAATGAAATACAATACCTATACCAGCGATTCAATGCAACAACATAAAATCAAATCAAATCAAATAAAAAGCTCAGGTCAACTACTTTGACCTACCGCAAGTATGTTAATTTATACAGTGAGCGATGATGCATGTCAGTGAAATGGTCATGATGTAGTAATCTCAATAGGTGGGATCTTTTTTATAGAACGCTCTGTATGTTGCATGATGAAGAAAAGCTGAGCATTCAGTGACCTTGTAGCAGCGATTTCCGCCGCTTTGCACGAGTTTTTTGTTCGTAGTAAATACGCTAACAGTGTGTCTCAGTTTTTGTTGTATTTATAAAGATTTTGTTCGACAACTGAAGGCGTTTCCGCCGTCCCTCCTTCATTTTTGTGCCTGTGAAATGTCCCCGGGGTGGGGGCATTTGATCACCTGAATGGACCCCAGTGTGGGGCATTTGAACGGCATTTTGGCCCGGGTAGGGGGGAATTTGAACAATAATTTTCAAAAAAGTCAGATGCCCGGGGGGTTGCCCGGGGGGGGGCATGTTGAAGCTTCGATTTGACTGATACATAAAGACTCATAACCTGCAAGCCGTTTTTTTTCTTCGTATTTAGTACACTAAGAGGGGGTTCATGGTCCCAGGCGTTCCTAGCGGTGACCTTGGAAACTGGGAGTAAGAATCGTTACGTGAGCGAAGCCACGCATGTTTTGGGAAGAAAGTTTTGGAAAGATTAATGTGATTTAGAACTTTTCCGGAACGGGTTGGTCCACGAATTTTATCTCTTGAAAGCGTTGATTACTTTGGAATAAGTGAACACTTCAGTGGTCGATGATGAGGCTAACTGGTCGGGTGTTGTAAACTGTCACTGTATGCAAATGAGTCTTGTGATGAGCGTGCGGTGTATTTTCGGCGGTGATTGAAATAACGCGCCACATTCATCACGTTTTTGATATCTGGCAATGATGTAATTTCTCTCGAATCGAGGCCCTTGAATAGCCTGCGACCGCAGACGTATGTCCGGTCGTCGCTATCACGCGTACTAAATCAATTCAGAAACAAATCGTCGAACACCATATAAAAAAGTAAATATCCTGAAGGATACTAGGCTACTTTTAAGAAGTAATAGCCTTTAAATCTGTTTCATTAAGGAGAAGCGCACGTGAACACCTCGTGGATTATGATGATGCAACCATCTACCCAGCCACAATGATAAAAATCGTGATATTTCGTTTTTATTCGGTATTCGATGAGCCACATTTTCTTAGGAAACTCCCAAGAAACCTGTGAGTCTTTGTTCGAAGCAACGTTTGGTGAGTTGATATTCATTGTACTTTAACAGCCTGTTAAGTCTGCACCAGATGTGTGAAGGAAAGACAAGGAAATGTGAATCTATAGCATGAGGATCGACTCAGCCTTGCGCAGCGTTTCACGTTTTCATTCATCTATGGCAATATCCAATTTCGCACAAAAAATCTATATTTAGGATGACAAGAACGCTCTTAGAAGCGTTAAGCCTCGTTTGCTTGGAGATTAGATAAGAAATAAGACGCTCTAAAAGCGTTGACTCGACCTTGCTTGGAGATAAGATAAGAAATGAGGAGGCAGTTAATTCTTAAGGAGCCTGTGTCCAGGGGTGGAAGCCATAAGGACCATGTGGGGAAGGCGAAAAAAAAAATGCAAGCTAGCCAGGTTACACAATAACCATTGACTGCCTTTGATACATTCAATAGTATAATATTCGCACTGCATACTTATTGTCCCGGCACGGGGAACTAAGTTATGGGAGGAAACCGCTATTCTCACTGCATACATAATTAGCCCGTGTCGCGGGGAATAAGTAACTCCCTTAAATTCCATCGTGTTAGGCCTACGCGCTAGTGGCATGATGCATTGCGGCCGTTTGTTAGAATTGCTTGGTTTTTGCTCGCCTCTTGGCCAGTTCAACGGAGTTCAGAAGAAGTGTCAGTCAGGGCTCTACATTAAAGGCTGCCCGCTTATGCGGGTAAACCTCAATAAAAACTATGAGATTGCGTAAACGTGAATTTTTTTTATGAGGTTAAATTTTAGCAATGAATAGAAACACCACACCGTGGACACCCTTCTTCTTCTTCTTTTGTGGCGTTTCCTTGTGTTCTATTGTTAGCCTTCGACAGCAAAATAGTACTAAGCTACGAAGTGCTTATACTAAAAAATGCAATAAACAGAAATCTTAAGTGAAAATTTCCAATGATGTCTAGGTAATTATACTGTAATACCAAGGAATCTTGCACAATCAAAGGCAATATGAGGCAAAGAGGCTAGGCCTTGCGAATATATGATACCAAGGAAACATCAACAAAGAAGTCAGTATGAAAAATAACAACGGTTCTCAAACCAACCCAAAAATAAATAGACTATTCCAATTTGTAGATTAGTAGCTTCCATTGGAAATTAAGTCCTGCAAGCAGAATGCGTGACAGTCAAGTACAATGCTACCTGTAACGCATCCGTGACTTACGTGACGAATAGTGCAAGCTGTTGAAGATTGAGTCATTAATATCTCAAGTATTTATAAATTGCAATGCGACCTCACATCTTATCAACCCTGTCAAGAGACCTTTGTCACGCGGCGGCCATTTTGTCCTTTAAATACATACAACGAAGTGAATCTGCCATAAACTATCGATTCCCCAATTTAGATAATATTGAAAATTAAGCAATAGTCTAGCGTGGTGTATTACAATTGGTTTTCAGTACTCTTATGACTCTCATACAATATATAGCTCAATTCTGAAATGGGACGACTCCTATAAAATGTACAACTGCTTGCTCCCAGCCCAGACGCCTCCGTTGTTAGTGTCTAGATTCATATCAACGAGATTAATATTCGCTTAAATTCACTTGCTTTCAACTTTCCGCCTTTGCAACAACGTAGCTTCCTACACAAAACATTTCCTTGCTTTAAGTTTTTCATGCCCTTTTTTATCGACGGTCGAGTAATCATAAGGGTATTTGCTTTTTAAATCGCTTTCGGCGAGACGTGATCAACATGACCCGTCATTTCAATCATCGCCGAAAATAAACCGCATGCTCATCACAAGACTCATTTGCATACAATGAAAGTTTACATAGCCTCACGATCGAAGTTTTGCTCATTTGACATTCTTCTGTTTTTCGACCCCTGCAGTATTCACTCGTTCCAAAGTAATCAACTCTTTCAAGGAATAGAATTCGTGGACCGACCCTTTCCGGAAAAGCTCTACATCTTTCGCATTAATCTTCCCTAAGCTTTACCATGCATGGCTTATCCCCAGTTTCCACGGTCTCCGCTAGGAGCGCCTGGGACCATGACCATTTGGCGCACACACACGAAAAAAAAAAAGTTGCATTTTTAGAGTCTCGCTCTGCTAAAGCAGGCTCGACTGAAAAGAGTCTATTCTTGGTATGGTTACACTGAAGCATTCAAAATTGCTCTTGCACGTTAAACGTGCCCATGTTAATTATTTGTTGATGTGACAAAAAGGCTTTTAAACTTAACATTAAATTATAAAATGCTTTTTACGAAAACTAATATTAATATAGCAAAACATATATCTTGAATCTTATTGCAAATATGTCTGAAATGTTCCTTTTTTAAACAGTGATGTGGGGCAGGAATCTTTGGATGATTCTGCATGGTGAGTATGGAGTTAGTAGTGAATATTCCCCAAGAGATGTTACAGTCAAATCAAGTCAAGCATACCCCTTAAGACTATATCAGTGATAAGTGATCAGGGATTTTAAGTAAATGGCTGTGGTAAAAAAGCCCAAAAATGATGCAGTGTGTATGCTTGGAAATGCTCTTTTGCTATAGCGTCAAAACCTACAACATGAGGACCTATCTTGTGTCGTAATCGCTACAACGTGAATTTAAAATTCGATTTTCCTCCTATTTTTTACAACTTGATCAATTTGCACTTTCTCAAGAAAGTATTTGATGCTTCTGGTTTTCCAGTAATTACGTCTTCCTCGCGTTTTACTAACAGCGAAGGCAAATGAGCCAGAAACCTCGCCGTCACTGTTTGAGTGCCACTTGCTTCAAGTTGAAATTGAGGGGTCTTCTGTGACGTATTCTCTCCAGGACTCAGCATCCACGACCGCTGTATTAGAATTCGCCGTAGCGATTTGCTTGACGTCCCTATTATTTGAAAATAATACATCACATTTATTAATTTTCTGCTTTCCTCCAAAACTGGCTGAAACAAATCTTGTGGCGAGAACAGCACAGCATGAAGGAAACTCCTCGTATCACTAAATTATGTGAAGGATAGCAAACTATCGGGGTATGTGCATACCAACTGAAATCAGACCACTACCACAAAGATGCTCTTAGTTTTTGACTCCTTTAAAGCAAATTAAATGCGTTTAATTTATGATTGATGCACAGATGCCGAACAAAGAAGCAGCATAGTAGCTTTACCATTTTGGCAGTGAAGAGCTAAAACAATGGTTTCACACATAATAGTCCATTTTACAGTTACAAGTGGAGTTGACCTTGTTTTAATAGGAAACGCGAAAGCAAAGTAGATTTGACTGTTTCAATTTTAGATCATAGTATAACTAATGTTCCCAGCTTTAAATACCTCGGTATACATATATCTTCGGATTTCATATGGACTGATCATATTGAACACCTATCTGGGAAAATCAATCAGAGGCTTGGGCTTCTCAAGCGTATGAAGCATTTATTGCCTTTCAGGGCTCGTCTACTTTTTTTATAAAAGTCTTGTTATGCCCCTTTTTGAATATGCTGATCTAGTATGGGGCGATAAACATAATATTACCCTTATGTCTAGTTTGCAAGTTTTGCAAAATAAGGCCGCTAAAGTTATTTTAAATAGACCATTGTACTCATCCTCCACTGAGGCATTAGCCGTTCTCAAGTGGCTGCCTCTAGAGAAAAGGCGATTTCAAAGAAGGTGTGTACACGTATACAAATGCATCAATGGCCTAATTAATCACGATATGGACTTGATTAGACAAGACGTACTTCATAGGCATAATACACGTAACAAAGGCAATTTTAGATTACCACGTGTCAAAAGAAATTGGGGGAAGCAAAGAACACAATATCATGCCGTTTCCGATTTTAACTCCCTCAGTCAGACGATCAAAGACTCAAGGAATGTAAATAGTTTTAAACGTAATGTTTTTAAGTTTTTGATATAGCTACTTACGTTTAATTTTTACTTAATATACTTATTTTTAATTTTTTATGCATTTTTTGTATCTTTTTAATCCCTTTGCAATTTTATAGCTTTTTTTTGTTTTTAGGGAAAGTTCATTTAATATGACAAGGGGGGGAAGATATTGAAACTCGAAGCCTGAAATTTTAGCAGCCCCCTCGCTAGCGGTTCAATTTTTAGGAGCCCCTCCTTGGTAGTCGAAAAAAATTTCAGAGCCCCCCCCCCCTCATCCTTCAATTCCTTTGCTCCCCTGAAAAAAGATCGATAGACTGTATTAAATATATTTACCGTTATTGTCTTCAATGGTTTATACTATGACAAACTTGAGATACAGTTGTGTTACAATTTTCTAAAGCATTTTTGGGATGAACAAGAGTGTAATAATTACTGAGACTACATTTTGTTATATCTGTAAACCACGTGATTTAGCTGAGTTGCAAAGGTCATTAAATTGTTGAGTTGAAAATCATCCGATCTGTATGATGATGTCATGTGTTGGTTTTGAAGTATAAAAATTTTCGGAGCCCCCCCTCCTAGCCCAACAATTTTTTCAGAGCCCCCTCAATATTTTCATCCCCCTCAATATCTTCATCCCCCCCTTGTCATATTAAATGAACTTTCCCTTATAATATATATCTAGTTTTGAGGTCCTTTTTGAAAACCATATCTTTTATGAAAAAGTTTCCTCAATAAAGATGATTATTATTATTAACCCTTCCTGCTTTATTATGCGAGTCATGTTGTTCTTTTGCCAACTAGTATTTTTGAGCATAAAAGGAAAGGAAGAGGTTTGAATCAAAACAAGGTCAACCCCAGTCTCTCATTCACTCAAAAACTCAAAACTGTAAAATGGTCTATTCAAAGATGAAATAGGCAAAATATATTAATTGCTGTATGAAGAATATCCCCTAGAATAAGCCTCTCTTCTTATCCTGAAATTGTAAGGGAACAGGTAAATGTTTTGAAGACGGAATTCAATCGCATTCATTCTTAATTTTTGTACAGTATGAAGAGTTATGCAGATTAAAGAGAATGTCTTGCCTCAACAGAGAACACCGTTCTTGATATGCATAATTTTTCACATAATACTCAGCCACATCCAATAATTTATGTTAAGAATAATTGTATTAAATATGGAGTAAGCCAAGACTTTATGAATGAGTTATACTCAATATTAATTTTATAGGGTGAATGAATATAAGTCTGAAAGTGAAAGTGCGGAACTTTCCAAGACTGCCGGAGAGCTACTTGAAAATGCAGATGACCCAAAGTTTGCAAAATCCAAGGTTATTTTTGTGTTGTGTTTTTCTTTTTAGAAATGCTGGTAGAATAGAGTAGAAATGTTACCCGTAGAATTATTAAGTTATCATTATTACCGAAGATTCTTGGACACTACACAGTTAGCCTGCGTAGCTGGCGGTTTTTTTTTTGTGTTATTCTTTTGTGGTTCGCAAAGAAAGAGATGCAGCCATGCGAATAATGAACGGAGGTCTAAACAGAAAACGGTAGGGGAGGGGGCGTGCTTCTCACCCCTCCCCCTATTTCGACCTCGGTTCAGCTTTCTATGGAGGTGTTTTAATGTACTATGTGACTAAGGCGGATAAAGGTTGGGCGATGAAACGAGCACTGTACAGTACCGCAAATTATCCTCAACCGCAAATGATCCCGAGAGCGCAAATGATCCCCAAAATGGACCGCAAATGATTCTCGACCGCAAGTGATCCCCAAAGTAGACCGCAAATGATCCCGAAAGAAAAATAGGAATGACCTGGACTCAAGTTATCGGACCATCGTGTCGATTTTCTTATTATTACAGTAAGTCAGATTAAAAGCTAAAGTTTACTTCTCAAATAAATATATGAATAAAAACTAAATGGAAAAAAATCATTCAAAAGCAAATGTGACTTTTTCCATTCCTCAAGCCGCTTATTTCATACTGAGAGGTCATGACATGCATTTTTCTGCGATTATTGTTGTTTCTGGTCGGCATGATTTGCCCAAAACATTTTGATGCAAGAAACAGTACATAAGTAGGTTAAGTATGATCTTCTGGGTGAACGTTTCTTTTGTTACTTTGACCTCTTTTGAAATGCAGTCAGCTTACATTCTACATTCTAGGGAGCTTGAAGCAACTCGAAGCTTTTAGCAGTCTATCTTCGGTGGAAGCATAATAATGCCAAAAATACGAATGTAAACGTTGTTGATGGGAAGCCCACCGTAAAAAGATGGCGAGAGTACATTTTGGAGGTGGTATAGTTCATGAACTATACGAGAGACCCATTTTTAAGCGAACTCTTCCGAGTGAATCTTTTACCGAGAAAACTTGTGTATTTATGTGATTGTTGACGTCTACCTCTTTGGTTACGGTACATTAACGACGCATTCACCGCTCTACATTAAGATGAAATCGACGATTTTCACGAACACCTTAACAGACAGAACGCGGACTTACAGTTAACCATGGATAATAGAAAGACTGGATGGGAAAGTGGCTGACGTGATCCGTTCCAACATGTGGAAAAATATGATGCACATTATGGAGAGCCATTGAACCTTTTACATCCGATGTGTTGCGCGTCTTATTTTTCCTCGTGTATTTCACTATCTCTGTCTTCAACTTTACAGATTGCCCATGTTTTGATTTAAAAGGATGAAGAGGACTTGCTCTTGGAGAAGACAGTTAGAAGGTACAAAACCGGTAGAGGCAAAAGACAGAGTAAATGATTATGAAACTTATGACAGCGAAGAATGACTCCAAAATTACAGCACCTACTCTGCAATTATGCGTATGCACACAATTCCATCCTTAAAAGATCTGTCAGTCGTAGGTATGAATAGAAATAAGAAGGAACCTTCATAATAAAGGTGTCCCAAAACAGTCGCCTAGTCTACTAAATATGGCTCTGGTAAACTCAATTTTTGGGACGCAATTTTCTCAAAGACAAGGACAAATAACCCAAAACAACAATAACAAGCGCTTACTTCGAAGGTTTACGTGGGGCTTTGAAGGGTCGCCGTCGCCGTAAGACAACAAACGAAAGGAAAAACGTACACCAAAAGTTAAAGTAGCACTAAAAACTTCGAAAAAGAACAACATGCAGGCAAATAAACCCTACATTTCGACTGGTTTGCGCCACACTTTCGCCATCGTTTCGTCACAGATTTCTACTATGATGGAACCATCCAACGTCATCTTGAAGCACAAAACAACCTATCAGCGATAAGAAATCAACCCACGTGACGTAAGTTTTCTGTCCAGTCTTTCTGTTATCCATAAGTTTACCAAGATCGAGGGAAATGGTAAAATACCTTTTCTAGACCGCTTGATCGCACGTGACAACAACACACTACGAAGGACAATTTACAGAAAACCGACAAATACAGTGTACCTACTGATTACTAGACCAGTCATCGTACAACCCAACCTCTCTCAAGGCTACAACTGTACGGACTTTGACGAGACGAGCGCAACTAGTTTCCGACTCGCCTGACAGCCTGCGAGACTGACTACCTAAACAACGTTAAGGGACTTTGTTAGACGGAACACTCACAGCAGCACTGATTCCAACACTCAGACCAACGTCAACTCTGGCCCTGTTACGACAGCGAATCGACTATACCGTACATCAGAGGCGCCTATCGCACGTATACTACAACCTTACGATATACGTGTTGCACACAAACCGATACCCACTTTACGACGACTACTTACTTATGTCAAGGACAAAGACAAAACGGAGAACAGACAGGGAGCAGTATACAAGATCAAATGCTGCGACTGCCAGGCTACTTACATTGGTGAAACCGGGAGAAACCTTAGCACGCAACTGAGAGAACACAAACGAGCAACGAGAAATGATGACGTCAACAATCACATTGCTGAGCACCATTTATAGGCGAAACATCAAATCGACGCGGACCCTGTGACACGTATTACGTATTCTACAGACTACTATGAACGACTCACTTTAGAAAGCTGGTTTACTAACTTAGAACAAACGCCACTGGCTCGTAGTCAACAGTTACCGGCACCGTAAAAACGACTTATTGACGTGCTCAAGCAAAACTAACAATCAGAGAACGACTGGACAACTGACAATTTGACTAACAATAAACGACTGTTTAACTGTGACAATAGATGGATTGAAATGCACCAATGACATTACGAATCTTCATAGCCAATTAACTGACAGACGACCAATAACATCGCAACTAAATTGACCAATCGGGTCAATAACTAGAGTGTAGTAACATCAACTGATGTGATACAACTCACTTTGACTCTGAAGATGACTTCCACACAGGTTGTCGAAATGTCAGTCACTGTCAACAACAATAGTGCTCTTCAGGACTACGTTCACCCGGACGATCACACTAAACCTACTTATGAAATGACTCCTGGGTTCAAACCTTTCACAAAGTAAACAGTAGAAACTGACGGGCAACTAATTTTGAAGTTCTGAAGAAACAGAAAGACGTATGAAATGTTTTGTCAAAATTAAAAAGAAGCGTGATGGTCATTGAAATTAGCATAATACACCTTGTACTAGTTGCCCGCGCGCATTTATAAAATACACGTCATCTGGTTATGGAGCGCCTTCTGCTGTTTTTGAGGTTTTGCTTCGTGTTTTAGACAGTATTTAGTTGTTTTTGTTTTGGAAGAACCTCGACATTACTGTGGCTGCCGCCGCAGTTGGGAACTTAACCGAGTTATTCCCAATTAACGAAGTAAAGTTAACTCGTTTAAAAAGCCATATAATTCAGTGGTAAAGTCATGGAAGTAAACAGAGAAACCACTTGAAATTCAGTGACAACAGTGTCTAATGGACAAACCACACCGCTAGCCCTGGCCGAATCACAGTCCCAGTCCACTACATTACACCTATTTGCTCGGACGCGTTCGTTTCATCGCCTAACCTTTATCCGCCCTGATATGACTGTTAAGCTACAAAGGGCCGATTAGCGTGATTTTACTTGAACCGTGAAACAGATACTAACAAATAGTGCCAAAAAGCAAGAGGTTAACAAAAGAATACAATGGAATTAGTGCATAATAGTGCGTAGTATTCTACTACCTGTTTCACGAGTTAAGTAAAATCACTCTAGATACCATAACTGGGTGGAGAGTGTCATGTAAGGGTATTTTCAAGACAGATCCATTTATTCTAACTGAGAATAAACAATGTCAACTGTGGGCCCTGCAGTCTTATCTATTATTGTGCAAGATATGGTTATATGGTGATTGAAGAATGTAAAATGTGATCATCATTTAAAGAAATAGGAAATTAACTGCTTATCCCAATAATGAGTTTTTCAACGTTTCTTTTCCAGAGATTGTGTTAATTAAATTGTGAGACATAAAACAGAGAAGAATTTCTTTTGTTCTTTCCAGTTTATGAAGTTTGTAAAGAAACTTAGAGATGGTGAATACACAATTGAAAATAACCAGGCATGTTTCAGACATTTCTGTCATCAGTCATGTTTTTCTTCTACTTGTCTAGCAAAATGACTTCTTCCTATAAAAAGGAGCTGTTGTTGTTGTTGAGACGTTTAGATAAGTCATGTAGTTTTTGCTTTTAAAATGCAATTTATTACTAGTAATAACCAAAGGTTACGGAGTGCAGACGACATCGATCGAAGGTGAAAACGCTTTTGCTCATCGCTGTACTTTGCGTAAGTTACACGTGACAGATAGTAAAAACATTCGTGATCAGATTACGAGTGATAAAAGGTCCAAACGCGGGTTATCAAATTGCGTTCTGTGCATTCCATTCATTCTTAGTGGAAGTCCAATCGATAGCGACCTGGAGATTAAGATTGCGAGCTCCTCTTGTCGCCCGAAATTATTGCCAAGGTCTTGTTAATCAGCTCAACTTTCTACAAAATTCCCTGTTTTGAATTTTTGTAAATTCAGGGCTGTCCTTTAGATACGTAATTCTGTCACTCATTGAATTGTTTCTAAATGCAGATGTTTATAGTTACAAGATTCTCTGTTTTATCTCCGACCTGAAGGGAAAGATGAACATCTTTAAGTTAATCACTTCATACAAAGAATTTGAGATAAAGTCAGAATTAAACTTGACCGAACTAAAAGAGGCATGTTTTAATACCCCATCAGGGTATATTAATGTAATGCATGTAATCTTTACATTTATGTATTAAAAGACGTTTTGCTTCTGTAGTTTGTAGTTTTTATTTGTTGGAGCAGGTTAAACATAAATAAATTTGCACGGCTCCAATAAAACGAAGGATGGTAAAGTGATAAAGCTTAGTGAGTTTGCCAGCCACAGTCAATGACTCTGGCAGATGCCCGGTATTATGTAATTATTAATCACTGGAAGCCACTTTTCGTAGCAGTACTGATGATATCGTGTTTGTCGGAAGGTGGTTGATGCTAAGACGGGGCAGGAAGTAACAGAAGAAACTGAGGCAGCAGAGCATTGGGTTGATGAGTATGATCAATTTAGGACAACTGAAGCAGATGAGTGGGTCAGAGAGTTAACTTCAGGAGCTAATATCCATAAGGTATACTGATATTCAGGCTTATATATGTTCAGGTTTCAGAAACAATCATTGTTCTTCCCCCATAAGAATCTTGGTATTTGAAAGCTAACACAACAGTGCCGATGCTCTTCTTTAAGCTTGGGCTATACCTGTACTCAAATTAATACTCAATGCAAGATGGCAAGTTCATTAAAATACTGAGGAAACTTATTGGAAACTAGTGTATAATTGAGAATGTTCTGACTTTCATGTGCAATCCCATATCCCAGGATTTTGTCAAAAACTAGAAATAACTTGTCGCTGCATAGTGTAATAAACGCTACCACATAAGCTTGCTTTGCTATGTACGCTGCAATGGTTTTCATTTGAACCTCTAGAATATGAGATTTTATCCAAAAATAGTGAAAGTTAAAAAATCCATGCCCATGGTTTAGTGAATAGTTAATAGTTACATATATTATAATTTCAGTCTGATATAGATTTCTGGGATCATCTTGAAGGCGAATGGGATGATCTTATAAGGTTAGTAAAGGTAAATTAGAGCGGTTTTCACTTGACTGTCGTAAAGCCAAAATCAAAGTAAATACACTAGCCAACCAAAGGGCGTAGTAAAACCAAAACCAAACCAATTCCTCAATTACTTTCGACAGTCGAGTGAAAACCGCTCTACAAGCATATCCTGTCACTTAGTTCATAACATGCCTGGCAGGCATTCTGGGAACAAGACTCTACCTTTTTCTGTGGTGCTACTTCCCCCACCCCACACCCTCTTTAATGTAATATGGGATTAAATTGTGTTTTGTTTTAGACGCGATGGGGAAGAGGCTCACCCTTGGTATAATGAAAGGGAAGCTGCAATAAACAAGGTAACACTTGTTATTCTTATGTTTATTCTTGTTATTATCATTATCGTCGTCTTCATCATCATTTACGTAGACGCCAATAAGATCAGCTTTAATATTCTACAGTGTATTTTATTGCTCCGTTTAGACAGCTACTATACCTTACATGTACACCAGTGGCACCAAAAAACTTGTTATTGCAAACCGATAGGGAATGGGTACAAGTCCGTGCATTATTATATATTTCTTTCGATTCTTTAGTTAGTAAATTTTGGAGTTTTGGGCGGGATGCCTGTATCGATTTCAACATAGACTCAATCAACACCAGTTTGAGGATTCTGTAAATCTTGATGTGCTCTTTCTCACTATGTGGGTCTTGGGTTGTTTATTCTGTAATACACCGGCAATTCCACAATTTAAACGACTGTTATACTCTAACAATAGACGAATCGAAACGCACCAATGACATTTCGAGTCTTCGTAGCCAATAACATCTCGGCTTAACTGACAGACGACCAATAACATCGCGACTTAATTGACCAATCTGGTCAATAACCAGAGTTTAATACCATCAACGGACGTGATACAACTCACTTTGACTCTGAAGATGACTACCGCACTTGTTGTCGAAACGTCAGTAACTCTCAACAACAGTCCTATTGTAGACTACTTTCACCTGGACGATCATACTCAACCTACTTATGAAATGACTCCTGGGTTCAAACATGTCACACTATTACATGTACTTGTTACTCACTAATCTGTCGCCACTGTAAAACAAATACTCATTCATGCCATGAATAAAGACCGACTGACTGACAGAAAACGAACAGCAGAAACACTCGACTGTTTGGAAAAAATGGACCGACAAGCCTGCTCCCTTTTGTCCTTTCCCCTCTCCGGTTTTCGTTGCTTGCGACGCAGGCTAGACAAATATGATTCACTATACAACGACAGAATTACAATGAAAAGGATTGAATCACTCCAGTCGCGTTTAGTCAGCAATAATAAGGCTTAACTAACAGATTTCGATCAGTCGTAACATTGTGTCCAAATTAACCAATCTGATTAGTAACTAGAGTTTACTTGACCCAGACATGGCGGCTAGAGTTAAATGTTGTTTGTTTGTATTCCTCGGCTACCCCTTCGGTCATGTGAGCTTATAAACTTTTTTGTCCCAAATACGGCGCTTTATCTAGGGTAGCGCTTATTCGAGTAAGACTGTCAGATGACAGCAGACGTCCTTGTAGAATCCAAGTCACAAGCTTTCCTCATTAATCCTCCCCTCTTTATGGATGCCCGACTTAGCAATCGGCACCGGTATCTGATAGCAACACTTGTTTTTTGGGGTACCAAATTGTTCCAACAGTTGCCCTGTATTGTAAAAAGCCATATACTCTGTCTTGGTTGTTATTGTTGTTTGTTCAGTTAGCCGAGCGCTGGTTTGCTTGCGGGAGGTCATGAGTTCAAACTTCGGTCGAACCTACAACCAGCAAGATCATTCGATTCAAGGTGAAACCCAATTCCTCATGTTCTGTGACGGTGAAAGGCAATACACAGGCAGCCCGCGCGGCCATTTTTGGTTTGGGTCTATACCATTACTGTATGATACACAACTTAGCCCGAGCAAAGAACTCGTTTCTAAACGAAAAGAACTGCTGACAAATGCCTTCAGCCTTTTCAGCCTTTGCCCGAAGAAGAGAATTTTAGCTAATTTTAAAGACTGTCACCCAGAGTAATCTATTGTAAAGAACCGAATTGTGGACCTTGAAGAAAGAGGACGTGCGAAGACAGGAGAGCTGTTCCTTTTTTCAACAGAAGACATAGTTTGGCTTTGTCATACCCTACGGTAGAGTGATCTTGTCCCATGAGTCGTTTAGGGGAGAATGAGAGGAAAGAGGCCACCTGGGAGACCTCGAGTGGGAATGCTAGATAGAGTGAAGGATGGCAGCCGTTACTTAGCGGTCAAGAGGTGCGCCTTAGATCGGGAACTATAAGGAAGGACCTGCCTGTAGGCAGAACACACACACACGCCGTACTTCTACCCGTAAAATAAGTGACCCTGATCATATTCAGTTCACTCATCAGGGGTTGACTCCAGTCTGGGCTCAAATCATTTCAATTTCTTCTTTTCGTTCTTAGGAATATACATTTGAGGAGGATAACCCACTGTTAGATCATCCTAATCCCTTCGAGGAAGGACTGAAAAAACTCAAAGAAGGGGATTTGATCAGTGCCATTCTGTTATTTGAAGCAGAGGTAAATAGTGTTCGAAATATTTCCGCAACTTCAGAGCGATATCTCTTTCGCGCGCGATTTTCCAAGAAACCTCACCGGAAATGAAGATAAAAAAACTGTCAAAAAACAAATAGACAACAACTTTCCATTGTCTATACCTTTTTATAAAATAACTAAGATAGTACACGCGTTCTGATTGGTTAAAAACGTATTGTTTATTGTGCCGGTAAACTCAGAAAACGTAAAGTTATTTATAAAAGCAATAGACCACACTTTCTATGTGTTTACCGGCGTGATAACCCACGCGGGATGTTGGGAGAACACGAGAAAAGCGTGATTTACAAGCTTCTCGAGTGTTCTCCCAACATCCCAAGTGGGTTGTTCAAAACTCTTGCCTGCGGCTTAATTTTTGAACATTTTGATTGAGTTGTTACTTTCCTTTTGTTTTTGTTCTTCTCCTCAGGTCAAGCAAAGGCCAGAGCATGCTGAGGTATAACCATCGTTAGGTTCTCTCTTTTCTTTTTCCTTTTTTTTTTTTTGCATTTCTGAACTATTTAACCCATCATCAAATTTTCCTTACACCGTTGTTTCAGGCGTGGCAGTACCTGGGCACAAGTCAAGCAGAAAACGAACAAGATATTGCTGCAATAATAGCGTTGAATAAGTAAGTTTATTGTCCTTCTTCAGCTCTCACTGTTGTGTATCTTTTTAATCAAGAGTTGTAGAGGTCTTACGACTTGTTTTCTTTTAGGTGCCTTGAAAAACAGCCAGATAATTTAACGTCGCTTATGGCTCTTGCTGTTAGCTACACCAATGAGTCTATGCAGTCACAGGTAATGTTATCCAGTCCTTCAATAACCGCGTCTTTTTTCGTTCTTGAAAGAAAGCTCTGCTGTCAAAAGGAGGCAACTATTTTAAGCCCTTAAGTGTTGGTTTGCTCTGCCATTTTCGTTTATTAAAGGGGCTGCAAACCAGCCACATGGAAGGTGCATCTAGGTGACCGTAAAATGGACTGCTTCTTTTCCCCTTGAAATCTAAATTCTAACGAACTTATAAGTTGAATTCATACAGAGAAAAGTATCACTTGAGGCAGGATCAACTTATTTTATGGCACCAGAGCTAACTGTGGAATTGCCATTTTAGGCATCCTACTAATAAACAGCTTTTGCATTGAGATATTCGCAGAAGCAACATACATTTACAGTCTGTCACCCTTGGAATTGTAGCCAATACCTTACCACCCGGGACTGGTGGAAGAGCACTATATCAGTTAACGGCATCACTTACAGAAAATAATTTGGCACACGGAAGTGTATTTTAATCAGTTTTTTATACCCTTTTGCAGGCCTGTCAGACGTTGAAAGCCTGGTTAAAGGCCAACCCTCGGTATGTATGTAAAAGGCTAAGATTGTAGTTAAAGAGCTTGTAAAAATGAATTCTCGTTTGAGAGATAATATGAGCAGCGGATCTGTATATGTGCGTTTACAATGGTGAGTCGAAGATGATCCATTGTGAAGTCCAGAAAGACCGGAGGCGAATATTATATATATATATATATATTTTTTTTTTTATCAAAAGTTAATGAACAATAATTAGTCGATTTTCATTGAACACTTATTGAATGAGGCTGAGTATGACGTAAACGCGCGGCCACGGTTTCAGGATATTTAACAATTATTCCACGAGGGTGCGTTGGATATGAGATGATAGACAGCCAACAAGGCACGTAGCGCCGAGTTAGCTATAATCATCTCATATCCAACAAGCGCGAATGGAATAATTGTTTTATTAAAAACGCCCACAAAATCTCGTTGAATCTCCCCGACTAGAACAAACCGGAAAAGACAAGGGACTTCCGCTATTCACATGTCACACGTCTATCAAAACTGTCAACGCGCGAACGGACTCGCCTGAACTGCATGAATTAAAAAATCAAAACATTGTAGCGATGAACGTTAGTTTTTTAAAAACTCGTCGGGATTCTAGGATTTTACACAGCAGAACAGTGACAGCCGTCGAAATTACTGTGAATTTGGATTTTCGGTGCAGTTATAAAAGTAAGAACAACGGAGAAAAACTATTTCCTCGGTCGGTTGTTATGAAGTTGTTTGAAGCCACAAGCTGGTTTTGCTGAACGAGAAAAGAAGCTATACTACCGCCTCGATTGCTCTAGTGAATGGCTGCATAGCCTGTATTTGTAGCTGGTTACTTGCGATTTATATTCTTGATGTCGGAGAAACAAGCCGCAGTTATCTATCGGCGAGTGACGCGATCGGCGAATGGCTTCGCGATCGTGAAGAAACAACACTTGTCTTCTTTCGTAGCTGGTCAAGATACTTTAG